CAAATAGTCATAAAGCTTCAAATCCAGACCTCCGCACCCCCAGACCACACAAGTGCCGTGTCAGGTCCAGTCTCCAGCCACGAGTTGGAATTATTCCCCCTCCTTTTGCTTAAGCCGCCGGGAAAAACTCACACACACACACACACACTAGTGATAGATTCCCGTTAAAACCAACAGGGGACACGTTCAACTTCAGCAAATGACCGTTCTTTCTTCCGTGTGTTCTTTCTAGAACCCCCCCAAAAAACAAACACTTCCTTTGTTATCATCATTTTTCCCGTGTGTTCTTTCTAGCAAAAGCGAAACGAGTTGCATGTGTTCGCCTTGAAGGTGACGCGGAGATCCTCCTCAAAGTCGTGGAGGCGCAACTCAGCAGCCTACCGAAGAAGAAAACGCCGGTACCAGCTTGGTATGGTGGTGATAAGCTGAAACCGACCTCAAAAAAGGGTACCAGCCACAAGAAACGCGGCTTTTCTTGACTGGAGATATGTGACTAGGATGCACCTGTGGTTTTGCACCCCCCAAACCTAAAAATGTGCCGAGAAGCAAACAAACAACTTGCCAAGAAGAGTGAATTATGTGTCTTGGGAGGGAAGTAACAAGGGAAACCGCACAACTTGTCTTTGAAAACGGAAGTGCCGTAGTGGCCAACCAAGTCCAAGCTGTTTGCTTGCCACTAAACTGGTGGAGGGGTGTTCAACAAGGAAAGAAGGGCAACTGCAAAACATGGCTCCCAGTGCAGGGGTTCAACATTTCTCCTGGAAGCCTAGTTGTTGGTTCAACCTTTTAATGGTTAAAAGACGCACGGGCCCCTCTTCCATTGCTTCCCTTGCACGTGGAAACAAACGGTCTGGGGAGGGGACTCTTCCAGACACTTCGGGGTTAAAATGCCGTCCAGAGCCTTGAAATTTCTGCACCTCGCAAACCCTGTGGTAGACATCATTTAGGTGGGGATTTATGTCCACCAACCGCTACTGAGGGTCCCAAATTCAATTCGTAGCCATACTGTCATACTGTGGATGGACAAAATCCTGCACCACTTTAGAACCATGGGCAACCACAGTTTGTTGGTATTTGCAGCGGAATCATCGCTCCAGGGTTTCTTAGGTGGTGCAGGATTTCGTCCATCCACAGTACTAAGCAACTGCAAGCCACCGATTTAAGTCGCCTCACGATGCTCTGCTCCGAGAACCTGCTCGAACTCCTCCAGGAGAGCCTGCGAAGAAATTGCTGGCACAGGGAATGACCTACTGAGGGTGGACAAAACCCATTTCGCACCACTTTGAAACTATGGGAAACCTTTTTATTCCCCCCGAGAAATCATCCTGCCCGGGTTTCTTAGGTGGTGCAGGATTTTGTCCATCCACAGTATGGATGATTGCAAAATCCATTTTGCACCACCTAAAAAACACTGCGGGGCGATGCTTCCCCAACGTAAATACCAACAAACAATGGTTTGCTATGGTTTCAAAGTGGTGCAGGATTTCGTCCACCCACAGTAGGGTAGGGTGTTGGGGATGAACCGGAGGGGCAATGCCCTCAAAGCTTCTTCCCACGTGCGGAGAACCAGCAAGTCGAAAAGGATCATGCTCAATGAACATCATCCAACAGGAAAGGAAGTGATGTTCAAGCCAGGATGCCATGTAAGGACCATTGGAAAATCAAGGAAGATCAGCACCCTCGAGTAAACTGCACCCGGAGTGTCTGGAAGACATTTTTTTGGGGGGGGAACAAGAGTTCCCACAAGTTGAGACTTGCTTGACACGTCCCCGCCAAGGTGGCGGTGAGTTCAAGCAACCAAGGCAAGCCCCCCGTGGTTAACATGATACCTACGGGTGACTAAACTGGGCTGTCCGTTTTCAGATCCCCCGCTAAAAGTGAATAACTTTTAGTGGGTTGAATGGAAATCCAACCTAAAAAGCCAAAAAGCTAAGGAACCGGATGGCTGGGAGCCACCAAGTAAAGTCACCAGCGGATTGATCGGTCCCATGCGCAAAGCCAGCGCAAGCGTTTGCTTTCACGGCCCGAGGTGGCAGTGAGCCCAAGCGACAAACAAAAGCAAGCCCCCCATTCTCCCCTCAGTTGTTCAGTGACCCTGCTAAAAAAAGGGAACCCTTTTTTGGGAAGACCATTTTAGTGGGGCAGCCACCCAAAAAAAAAAGGGGAAAAAAGGGGGCCACTGAACAACTGAGTCCCGCCTTTGGTTCCCTCGGCAGGCCCCGGAGGCCCTTCTCTGCCTAAGCGATAAGCGGCTCGTTGAGAGGCTAGATGGGAAACCCCCCCATTTCTCCACAACCCAAGTGGAGGGAAGCTGAGTTTTGGGCCCGGGGAAACAACCGTTTGAGGCCTTGGAGGAAGTGAGCCGTCTTTGGGTTGGCTTGGAAACGAACTTCCGTTGTGGAAGTCCAAGAACTCGAGAAGTGAGTTTCTGCTGGAGCTTGGGATTTGGACTTGGTTGACGTTGGAAGGGGATTTCCCACTAAACCACAAGAAGCAAAAAAGCAAAATGTGTCCCAACAACAACCATGTGGACAAATGGCTGGCCAGACTGATAGCTGGATTTTGGATGGTTGGCTTCGGCTTCCGAAGCTGATCCTCGGGCTTCGAACTCAGCCATTCCAAGCCACGATTTTTTAAGGGTAAGCCAGTGCTTCAGTGCTTCCAGCTACCATAGCAGGCAACTTGGGGAAAGCATGATGCGAAACCTAGAGGTAGGCCATAGCAGGTTACCTACTATAGTCTCAGTTGCCCAAGTTGGACATCTTTTGCGGCCATGACTATTGGGAAACCAAAAGGTCAAAAGGTAGGCCTTGGACAACTGAGACTAGAGTGGCAACTGGAAACACCTGGTAAGCTGAACTTGTGACGTCCATTCTGACTCGTGGCCAGTGGGATGCCTCGGTTTACGTCAGATTTGGGTGATCCTCCTGCAGTTTCTTGCATACGTATTCGTGTGGCGCTCAAAATGAACGATTCCAACATGACCTGCGCAGAATATCTGGTCCACTGAAATTGTCGAGGCCCTGCGCTCTGCTTATTGTTTGATTCTTATTCTTTTTGGGGGGGTGGGGGTGGAAGTTTGTCCACTGGATCGTTCTGGCAAATCGGGCCATGTTTTTGGATCGGCCGCTCTCAGGAGGGATTGTCCTTCTTTTGGGGCAGTCATCAGGACAGAAGAAGCGCCTGCAAACTGCGCAGCAAATCTACCACCTGAAGAAAAGGAATCTTCACTGCCCTTGGTATGGTTGAACAAAAGCTGACTTCTTTGCAGCCCCCGAACCTAAACATGAACAGAACCCCCAAAAAAAAACTTGCCCAGTGAAGGGAAGCCTTCCTCGTTTTACCCCCAGATCGCTGAGAGCTCGCTAGAATTGGGACGCCGTGGCTCCCCGGATGCCAGCGCCCGGCGTCCGGCCTTCTTGCGGAAGCCGAAGCTTCCCTGGACCAAGATGAGTGCCAGAAGGCACCTGGCTTTAGTTTTGGACCTTACGGCACCTTCTGAGTCATCTTCCGAATAAACCAAAAAACAACGTTTGCACTCATTGCCAGCGTGAAAACATGCAGCCTTCATGCTCTAAACAAAATGTGGTGTTGCTCATGCATCATTTTCACGACCTTGCGACCTTGTGGAGTCACGTCAAGACTATACATAGTAGGTACAATACGCACAGGATCCATCCTTCGCAGGGCCCCCCTTGGAAGGTTTCTGGTTTGGATTGATAACCTGGCTCAGTTGCCCAAAGGACCCAAAAATAAAATTGATCTTTTGCGGACTGAAAAAGGACCAATATTGGAAAACAGAAAGCCAAGAAGTCGGCTTTGGACAACAGAGGTGGGAGGCTGTCAAGCCCCCTCATTGTTTCCTTGCCCACTAGGTCACCAGTAGAGAGGCTAGAATAAGGGTACCCACTTTTTTCTGTAGTCTATTTTAGTAGGGCAACCCTCCCCCAAAAAATGGGTAAAAGGGCACTACTGGGGGACCTATCCCACCAAGGGGAACCGGCATGGTTGGCAAGCTTTGTGGTTCTCTCCCTCGCCGGATTGCTTAGGGCCTGGGGGTCGTTCAAAGCCATCCGGCCAGCCATTTTTGGTTTCAGCAAAAGGCAAAATGAGAGATCACAGCGAGAACCCCAAAAATGGTTGTTTTCCCTTTGGTTCCCTTTAAAACCAGCACGCAATGGGTACACTCAAAGAAGCACGCCAATTGATTTTGTTCCCAAAAATCGCCTCTGGCCGCAAATGGGTTCAGCACCAATGAACAGAAATCATTACACAAATCAGGGACCCTTATTTTAATGTGACCAGGAGGCTGCGGTGGCAGGTCCTTTTATCCAGGGATGGGGAAATCGTGTTTTGGGGCAAAACTCCCTGGGTGTTCGCGCCATACTCTTCATCCTCTGCGCCAAACTGCACCCACGAGCATCTTGTCGCGCTTCCGCATCACTGCAATCCCAGCGTAGCGCGAGGCCAGTGGATGGCGCAAGGCCGTGAAGCTTGGTTGACGTTGGGTTTGGGGAGCGAAACAAATAAATGTTAGCATATTTTTGTGGTTGGATTTCAACCACTAAACCACAATAAGCAAAAATGTAAAATGTTTCCCAACAACAACCATGGAAAGGTCGCGCAGCCAAGTCACGCCGGTAAACCCCCCACCGCTCGTCAAAGAAACAAACAGCTGTTGGATGATCCTGGACCCCACAAATTCCGGCGCATGCCTCTACTGAAAAGCAAAAGGACATCGGGCTCTTATTGTTCTCGAGTGTTGGGGAGAGCCACGATTCATCACGGCTTGTGTTGGTGGGGGGGTACCCTTCGTGAGCTTGTCTGACCTTGATATTTCAAACTGTCGACTTTTCAGAGGATGCCAAACCTTCAAACCACTCAGTCCAAAGGACCAACAAAGAACAAAAAGGTGATCACCCTTTGGGAACTTTACTAAAAATGGACCAGAAACCTTTTGGGAACCTTCTGGGAACTTTGCCCAATAACAGGTGATCACCTGTTGGGGCCATGACTAAAAACGGGTGACTAAAAACGGGGAACCCCAAATTGGAAAACCAACAGGTCAAAAGGTCGATTCGCTTTGAACAACTGAGACCACGAAGCAGCACGGAAAATGCGTTTGGCCGTCGCTTTTCTATTTTTGGCTTGCAATCTTGCCTTTGACATTTTCTGCGGGGGGGTACTTGGGGCCAGCAGCGGCTCTGTCATGAATCCCAACTAAGCGTAGAACTGGATGGACGAAATCCATTTCGCACCACCTGAAAAGCCCTGGGGTGAGTCGCTTCCCCTGCAAACACCAAGAAACAATGGCTTGCTATGGCTTCAAAGTGGTGCGAAATGGATTTCGTCCACCCACAGTAGAATTGGAATCTGTTTTGGTTGACCGGCTGATGAGCGGGGAGCCCACTAACCCAAACAGCCAAACTGGGTGAACAGCAGAGTCACGTTCTCTCTCTCTCTCTCTGCTGTTGCGTCCGGAGGGTCTTGACTCAGCAAGGCAACAAAACAGGTGCCCACTGATATTGAGGGGCACCCAACACACACCATGAGAGACTTGCCACTTTTGGTTTCTCCAGTCAATCCAGCTAATCTACCCTTGCCTTGGGCTCCCTATACCTGCCAAATCTGGTTTCTCCAGTGAATGCAGCCTATCCACCCTTGGGCTCCCTATACCTGCCAAATCTGGTTTCTCCAGTGAATGCAGCCTATCCACCCTTGGGCTCCCTATACCTGCCAAATCTGGCTTCTCCAGTGAATGCAGCCTATCCACCCTATACCTGCCAAATCTGGTTTTACCAGTGAATGCAGCCTATCTACCCTTGGGCTCCCTATACCCGCCAAGCCTGGTTTCTCCAGTGAATGCAGCCTATCTACCCTTGGGCTCCCTGTACCTGCCAAATCTGGTTTTTCCAGTGAATGCAGCCTATCTACCCTTGGGTACCCTTGGGCTCCCTATACCCGCCAAGTCTGGTTTCTCAAGTGAATGCAGCCTATCTACCCTTGGACTCCCTATACCTGCCAAATCTGGTTTCTCCAGTGAATGCAGCTTATCTATCCTCGGGCACCCTATACCTGCCAAATCTAGTTTCTCCAGTGAATGCAGCCTATCTACCCTTGCCAAATCTGGTTTCTCCAGTGAATGCAGCCTATCTACCCTTGGGCTCCCTATACCTGCCAAATCTAGTTTCTCCAGTGAATGCAGCCTATCTACCCTTGCCAAATCTGGTTTCTCCAGTGAATGCAGCCTATCTACCCTTGGGCTCCCTATACCTGCCAAATCTAGTTTCTCCAGTGAATGCAGCCTATCTACCCTTGCCAAATCTGGTTTCTCCAGTGAATGCAGCCTATCTACCCTTGGGCTCCCTATACCTGCCAAATCTGGTTTCTCCAGTGAATGCAGCTTATCTACCCTTAGGCTCCCTATACCTGCCAAATCTGGTTTCTCCAGTGGATGCAGCCCATCTATCCTTGGGCTCCCTATACCTGCCAAATATGGTTTCTCCAGTGAATGCAGCCTATCTAGTGGTTGGAGAACTCGGTCACACAATTCGGATGTGTCTTTTTGAGGCTCGGCACCTTGATTGCCCCTTTTCGTTCTCGCTTTGGCAACCAAAAGGGAAACGCGCGCGTTGTAGCAATTTTAAGCGCATTTGGGGCGCTTCCAAAGTACTTGTAGGGAACCTAGACATGAGTGGTTTCGTTTTGGTGTCCCTCTAAGTACCGACGAATGGGGATCTGTTGGAGATATCCTCATTGAATTGGGGGAAGCCCGACAACTCCTTTCTCGGGGAACATCTATGAAACCCCCAGTGGTTTGGGGTCCGTATTCTTTGGTCTTGTACTTGGGTGGCAGCTCCATCCTTGCGTGTAGTTTGTGATAGCCTTAGATGCCGACGTAATGCGTATGTTTTGGAACCTAGTTGCAGCCTCAAAAGGTCAGTGCTAATGGAGCTATTCACTGCCACCACTTCACTTGCTTCATAAACAACATGTTCCCTACTTCAGGCAGCGGCCTCATGCAAACTCCATCCCGGCTGGTCCGCAAAGGTCTTTTCTCCCTGCTGATCGTGAGCATCTTGTGAGTCGTTCGGACAAAGGTCGCGCGTGCAGCTCACCTTCCAAGGTCCACACAGGCGCTGGGATAGTTGTCATAGACCACGCACTCGAAGTTGACGCCGCAGGTCAAGCAGGACCTTTTGTTGGTCTTGCACTCAACTTCGCCCAGGCAAATCGGCAGCTTCGGGGGCGCGTTTTTTTGGAAGTCGCTTCTGGCATGGCTTTCGATGACAGAACTCTCCGGCGTTGCGAGCGACGGGGCCTCCTTCCCCGCGGTGTCGCTCCGCAAACTCCACGAAGGAAGGATGAACAGCATCATGGCGATGGACAGGAAGCGTGCCATGTCCAGAGCCAGGAAGGAGAGAGAGAGCTATGGGCAAACAACAGAGCTAGGAGCCTAAGCACTGCGGCATGCCATATCTGAACAAAATAGCGGGGACAAGCTAAGTACAACCTGCGAGTTCACGAAGTTGAATCCAGCCCCAAGTGGCGTATCCAGAAAGTCGCCTTTACACCATCCAAACAAAGGTCCAACCAATTAGAGGAACCCCCTTGGGCTCCCTATACCTGCCATGTTTTTCTCCATTAAATGCAGACTATCTACCCTTGGGCTCCCTATACCTGCCAAATCTAGTTTCTCCAGTGAATGCAGCCTATCTACCCTTGCGCTCCCTATACCTGCCAAATACGGTTTCTCCAGTGAATGCAGCCTATCTACCCTTAGGCTCCCTATACCTGCCAAATCTGGTTTCTCCAGTGGATGCAGCCTATCTACTCTTGGGCTCCCTATACCTGCCAAATCTAGTTTCTCCAGTGAATGCAGCCTATCTACTCTTGGGCTCCCTATACCTGCCAAATCTGGGTTTCTCCGGTGAATGCAGCCTATCTACCCTTGGGCTCCCTATACCTGCCAAATCTGGTTTCTCCAGTGAATGCAGCCTATCCACCCTTGGGCTCCCTATACCTGCCAAATCTGGTTTTTGCAGTGAATGCAGCCTATCTACCCTTGGGCTCCCTATACCCGCCAAGTCTGGTTTCTCCAGTGAATGCAGCCTACCCTTGGGCTCCCTATACCTGCCGAGAACCGGCCGTGTTCCACCCCCGGGAATACCATCAAAGAGGTACCTACTCTCAATCTCAGTCTCGACTAAGTGACGAAATGCTTCACATTGCCAGATTCTGCTTTATAAACCTCAACTCGTCTGCATTGCCAACCCGCATAGAACCTGACAAGTCAACCTACTGTACAGAAAGCACAGTAGGGACACTGCCCTCTCAAAATGTAAAACAAACCTTTACAACCCTGGCATGGTTGCAAACAACTTGTTTTTTGCAGCCCCCCCACCAGAAATGAACAGAACAAAAAAAAAAGGCCTCACAGAAAATCCAAGAACAGTGAAGAAACAGCCTCCGAGATCAGGGCTGTGGGGAATGGAATCCACTTCTGTGATACCACAGAAAGGGCCCAACCCCAAAGACTATTTTCTTCACATTTTCAGGCGGATTCCCAAAAGTATCACAGAAGTGGTTGGAGAAACCCCGAGATCGATCAACCACAACCCTGTCCGAGGTCCGCTTCGCGGCAAAAAGAAACGACATCCACGCCTCTTTGCCCACTTCATTTCCATGGAGTCAGGTCAGACCTGGGCCGGCAATCAAAACAGCCATTTTCCGGCGCCCAGGTGACAAACGCTTCGACGAATTTGTGACAGTGGTCAATTGTTCAGTGACCCTGGGAAAAAAGGGAACCCTTTTTGGGGAAGACCATTTTAGTGGGGCAGCCATCACCAAAAAAAAAAAAAAGGAAAAAGGGAGCCACTGAACAACTGAGCAGTGGTCATGGTGAAGGTTTGCCGTCTTTTTTTTTGGGGGGTCCCTTCTTGATTGGAAGCACCTGTATTGAACAATAAGGGCCCTCTCCCAGTTCTGAGTGCCAGCTGAAAAACCAGTCCACTGGACAACATGAGAAACTATTTCCGGTAGTGAAATCGCTTCCCTTTAAAACCAAGAGGGGAAAACAACAAACAAGGCCATGGGTCAAAATCCCGTACCCCCAGTGAACATCCCAGTCCCCACTAGAATAGGTTCTAAAATGGGTGGTGCACCTACCCCAGAACGGTACCGTTGGTTTTGACCCAGGGCCAAGTCGCTTCCCTTTAAAACCAACAGGCCGGGGAAAACCACAGCCACATCTTCTGCGGCAAATGGGAAAAACAAGCACCGGACAAATGCCAAGGCGCCAGAGTTTCGTGAACAGGGTGGCCGGTGGCTTGAGCCAAGCGGCTTGTGCCCTCGAACCCCACAGCCGTGAGCGCGTGGCTTCCGACACACGGGACAGCTCACAGCTGCCATCAACAGGGATCCTTACATTATACAAATACGGACATAGAGCACAATTTCGGACAAACAAACAGGGATCCTTATATTATACACCTGAACATTGCCTTGTCAGTCAATGGTGGTGTCCCTTTATTGTGGAAAAAATCCACATGTTTCAAATGGTTGCACAATTTATCTTTTAAGGAGCCCTGATCAATGCGCAACGCTCCAAAGACCCTGTCGATCGGTTTGACAAGCTGTGAAAAAAAACAGAGTTCCTTTAAACCAACGTGCTGCTCGATGGGTGGGAGGCTCAAGCAGCCCGTTGTCCAACAGCAGCTGCGCTTCTCAATTTTCTCCGGTGGTCAGGCAGAGTCGCTTGGCGGTTCTTGTTCGGTGCCAAAGTTCCTGCCTTTCGCGCACAAACTCAAAGCAACACAAGGTATCGGGCTTGGAGGTATGGACGCTTCTCCACCAAAACGCTTGCATCACAGTATGGTAGTATGTACCCATATACCGTATACCATTGCGGTCGCTTTCTTCATCTCGCGAGTGGCTCGCTTTGGCAGTTTGCGCGTTGGTCCCTGGCCGCTGCTCGCAAGCAGCGCGGTGTGATTTCCCGGAGCCCTTCTGTCCAGGCGGGTGTATGTCACATCTGCGTCACATCAACTTAGGCATTGAACAAACAAATGCCAATCTGCGCCTGCTTTCTTTGAGGCAAATTTGGATTCTGGCAAGAACCACAATTTCCCATCTCTTTCTCATGCTCGAAAGCCCTACACATGCCAGGGTAATGCGCTCTGCCTTACTCATTGAGCGACTGGGCATAGAGCTGGTTTCTGGCTTGGTAAGGTTGCCAAAAGGAACAACAAATTGGGACAATGCAACAAACTTGCCGCCCTTGCCTTGGGCTGAAGGGCCCCATGAATCTCTGGCTTTTCGGTTCTCATGGTCTTCACCTAGCGCGAACGTGGCGACGACCTGAAAGAACGAACCATGTGGGACCTGGACACCCACAATTCAAAAGCCTGTCTGAGGTTGAGAAGCGCTTCGTGTCAGAAGAACAGCCCAAGCAAGGTGGACCAGAAATGTTAGACCCCAAATACAGAAACACATTGTTTGATTGATAAGGGGTGCCCCTTTTTGTTGGGTATCCTGAACTTGTGTGATTGACAGTTCCCTATTTACAGGATGGATTGACTTATCCAGGGTCAACATGTCCCTGGAGCCCTTGCACTTTCACAGCGACCTCAGGGACGGGAACAGAAAGCTTAGGCTTGGAGGAGAGTCATCCTGAGTTTCCCACAGGCCATGCAAACCCCGCGAAGGTTGGTGCAGAGTGTGCCATGGTTACAGCCCATCTTGGATTCACGGGAACACACACGCCGACTTACCCGCAAGATCAAACAGTCTCGAGGCTTGCATCAGCAAGAGGATCACAAACTACCCAAACGGTTTCTGAGACAAAAAAAGGTTTCGAGCCCAACCTGCCCTTGCAAACGCGAAGGTGTCCGAAAATCATAGTGCAACGGGTGAGGCCATCCGTTGCTTTCCTTCATGCGCTAAAACCAGCTGTCAGCCGGGCCATAGAAGTCAAGCAGCAGCAAACACCACTCGGCACCGCGCACTACACGGTTCACTCCCACACATAGTCCAGGACACTCGCCAAAACGCTCACTAGAGCCCTATAGAACCACCATCGCTACCAACTCGTTCAACGAGCAAACACAAATAGACTACAGCTGGCAATCGGATGAGTGAAACTTATGATTCCGTGCCTTGTTTACAATCTGCGACCACTTTCCCTGCTCTGATCCATCATGGGGTTGATCAAAAGGCCCTTCCCATATGATGACCATTCGGAAAACATTCGCGTCTAGTCCAGCAAGAATCATTTGTGGGGCCCCGAAACGGGGATGACACGAAAAAAGTCATTGGGAGGTGATCAATAGCGTAAGTCCGGTAAACATAGGATGACGTGGAAAAAGTTACCCATGGTAATTTGGGGGCCGGGAATATGATCAACCCACATCTGGGGCAACAAACAACCCAAATTCCGAAACCTGAAAGAAAAAGCTCTCCAAATGGCTTTTTTCCTCATGACTGAGCTCTTTTTACCCTCTTGCTAAGCCTATTTCCCCCCGTGTTTTGCCAGGTGAGTCACAATCAAAACCCACTATCAAAATGGCCTACCCAGAAACAGAACCATGTAAAGAACTGAAAAGGCGGCTATCCGCGCCAATTTCTGGCTGGGATTCTCCCCCACCCTCTAGTTCTCTGCAACAATCATAGGTGGCCGTTTGAAGAAAAAAAAAAAAAGATGGCCCTGGCAAATGGAACAAAACCCATCTAAACCAGTGGAATCCAGCTATTTTTAACCAAGCTAACCGATCAAAAGGACGCCTATGGCAACAATTCCCATGCTTCAAGCAGTTGGGACAGAAAGGGGGCAACGAGCCAAGCGCTTCATGCGGACCCGCCTCGATCTCTCTCAGAGCTCCTTCTTGTTGTCAAGCCTCCGGCTGAAGCCATGGGCTCCCTTTTTTCCCCAACAGTTGAAAGCTTTGGGGTCGATAGGCCCAGATAGGCTCCGGGGTGGTCCAGGGCGGCCCTGAGGTAAGGTTCCACGAGGGTTCCACCAGGGTTCCACGAGGTTCTGCGAGCACCGCATGCTGTTGGGGATATCACTTGAGCTTTTTTTTAATAAACCGAAACGACCCCGGTGGATGTCCAGAGGTCACCATGGTAATGATCCTGCACTTGGGGATCCAATTCTTCTTTCAGGTTTGGGACATGTTGCCTAAAAACCGCAGAAGTAACGGAAAGGCTTTTGGTAGAGTTCCAACGGTTTCCCTCTGAAAAAACAAGAAGGAACAGTGGCACCACTGGGTGGGTTTGAGAGGCAAGGAGTTCACTCCACCGAAAACAAAGTGCCACAAAGGGTGCGAGGGTACCAAGGGGCTACGGCCCTCCAACCCCCAGGAAGCATTCTTGGAACCTTTTTGGAGTGCTGGCCGCAGGGTTCTACGAACTTTCGGGGGGGGGGAAGGGTTCCTAGCACCTCGAACTGAGCAACTGGACATCCGCTATGTTTTTAAGGAACTCCGGCAGACAACAAACTGTCCCAGAGTCGGACATACAACAAAATACCTGTCCCCCGCTTCTGAATGGCTACCATACACATAGCAGCTCACCTGCCATAATGCTATTGAAAGTTCTATTTCTCAGACCAGTTCTCGTAACTAAGTTCTTTGCAATGTGTCCAAACGACAGCCACAGGGCAGCAACTCCTTGATAGAAGCCCGTCTCGGCTCTGGAAAACCGCCTGGCACTAAAGGGACATTCTGGGGTCCCAGATTGGTTCATTTTCATCACAGGTTTCCTGAAAGCATCGAACAAACACAACTCACTTCCCAAGTGGAAAGCAGTCCGAACTTTGCAATTTACCACTAAAATTCTCGTCCCCAAAAGCACCATGTCCAGGAACTCAAAAAAGGTAAGACAAGAGGATCCTCTTTTCAGCCGCCGGTACAGTGCGTTTTTGACTGCCTCGGTTGTTCAGTGACCCTGAAAAAAGGGAACCCTTTTTGGGGCTTGGACCATTTTAGTGGGGCAGCCACCAAAAAAAAAAAAGGAAAAATAATTGGGGCACTGAACAACTGAGCTGCTATTGCTCCCATCGGCCCGCCCATCGGCCCGCTCCAGAGGCCGGCCTGTTGCTGCTGGGCATCATAAAGAGGCGGGCCAGCGCCATAAAGACGCCCAAGCCGAAGACGGGGAGGCCGCTCATGGAGGACCTTGCCATCACCCGGGGTTTCCCGGTGGCCCTGTGCTGGCAACTAGAACTGGAACCCGTGTCATGTTTTTTGCTTTATTTGTTGATTGGAACCCGTGGCATTTTATTTGTTCATGTATTTTTTTGGGGGAGGGGGGTTGAGCACAAAAGGGATTTCAAGGGTGCCACTGACGCCATGATCGTCTCGTGAGCCTGCTGCCCCGGCTGCAGCAAAATCATGGTTGGCTCAATTTAGATGAAGCTCCCGCCCAAAGGACCCAGGAATAAAAGGTTAACCTTTTGGGACCTCTACTAAAAATAGATCGTCTTTGAACAACTGAGTTCTGCCTTCTGTTTCACCCGATAGTTTTCGCGCCTCGCAACCGAGCCTCACCAGTTGAAGCCCTTCGATTCAGGCGGGCTTGCTGTACTCACTTCCTGCAAGCTTGCAGTTTTTATGCCCTCCCCCCCCCATTAAATAGAAGAAGAGACAAAGAAAAGGAAAAACAAACACAGAAAATACAGGAACTCATGACTATCAACCTTCAACTCTAAAGGATGTAACTAAGTCTATCACTTTAGTCAAGGGCAAAAGATCTACACACGCCGCAAACAAATCCAATTTGCAACTGAGGGAACTACCGCTACAAGACCTTCCGGCCCTCTGCTTGGGCGTGACAATTCCCCCAACAACTAGACAGCTCGATCCACTTTCTCCTTCCCGGCGAGGGGCTTCTTCACTTGCGCCTCAAAGGCCTTGCGATCCACCAACTCCTGGCAACTGCGAGCCACCAAGTACTGTGGATTTCTCGTGAAACAACATAAACAACTGCTCTGAGAAGCACTCGTAATACATCGAACCTGAACAAGGCTCCGAAGGAAATCCAAAAAAAAGAGCAATAAGACCGCGCCTTTGGTGGCTCTCAACATGTGGCAAGAATGGAAGTGCACAGGCCGCTCGCTCCCTCTCTCTCTCTCTCTCTCTCTCTCTCTCTCTTGCAACATATCTTCCTTCTGGAAAGGTGTCCCTTGCAAATCCACTATTGGTGGAATGGATGTGCTTGCAAGACATCTTCAGTGGTTTGCTTTGGGCAACTGAGACTGAAAGTGAAGGTTATCGTTCAGGTCCGAGCAGGTACCTGAAATCAGACCGGTTGGTCCAGCCCCAGAACCCTCCGTTTGAACCATCCGTGAAAGCTGCCCCAAACCACCGCGAATGAGCCGATCTCTCGGCAAAGACCCCATAGCTTCCAGCTAGGGAAACCACACATCTGCTGTTGAGAGATCCCTTTTTTTGGCTTCTGTTTACATCAGGAAGAGGGAACAAAAAAAGGATGAACATCTCGTTTTCCCAAACTAGGGCCCCTTCAAGCGGATTCAAGCGGTCTGTTTCCTTTTGGTTTTTTTTCGGAAAACCAAGCCAACATGTCGTTACAGAACTCCTGGTAGCTCCTTAGCTCCCTTTTAAAAGGCACATTTGGCTTGCTCCCTTTGCTCCCATCCAACTACCAGGTATACAAATTACTCACCGGAGTCGGGCGAGTTCTTGGAGCGTACCTCCTTCATGACCCAGCGTGTGGAAGTGGTCGTCGTGCCATTGCTCTGCTGCTGCTGCTGCTTTGCGATGTTCCTCAAGCGGACATCAAAACATCCCACCGTAATATTCTTGGTTGACGTTGGAAGGGGAGCAAAAAAATAAATTTTAGCAGTTAAGTGGGGATTTCCCACTAAACCACAATAAGCAAAAATGTAAAATGTTTCCCAACAACAACCATGATATTGAACCCGGATGAACATTCGCCCGGCTTGTTCATAGGTGCTCCCTCCAGCGATGAACCCCCACTAGGGGACGCCCCCGCTGTGTATCAACGGGGGACACCTGGGAGGTTGGGGAGGTCACTTGGCGGCGACACAAAGCAAACGTGGCAAAGGGCTGGGGCTTCTCCAGTTCTACCGAGAACCCCAAGGGTATCAAATCCAGGTTGAATTTCAGTGCCAACTGCCTCCCAATCCATTCTATCTGAAACACCCCGTTTCACCAAGGCGTATTCCTTACTCATCTTCTTGGTTGACGTTGGAAGGGGAGCAAAAATTCTCAAATTTCAGCAGATTTTTGTGGATTTGGATTTCCCACTAAACCACAACAAGCAAAACGGTGTCCAATGTTTCCCAACAACAACCATGAAAAGGATCAAGTCCATGAACTCGGGGAGTGAACAGTCTGAGTCAAAGCATAGCCGCTTGCCTTTCAGACTTTTGGCCGTTGTGAGAACTTCGCCTTGCACTTGTTGGAACAGGGGGTAAAACAAAGGGCTGTGGGGCAATGATCCTCAAACTATTTAGCACGCTCTTTAAGGCCTTCCAATTGTCACGAATCACATAATTTCGAACTACTTCTTTTTTAGGGGAAACTTTGCGTGTCCCCCAAGGGGAAATTCAGTGGTCCCCTGGTTTCCCTCAAATGTATATGGGGCTCACCATGGCTTACTCACCCAGAAAGATCGGCAACTTGGCTTCCCACCACCGAGCTTGATCTCTTTATTTGAGGATGCCATTATGGCTGGCTCAAAAAAAAACCAAGAAGAAACCACTCACTCTAAAGGACCATCCCCTTTTGAGGGGGGGTGCCCCAACTTTGACACATACCCATGTCTCACATCACCTCTTAACAAACACATCCTTAGTGAAAAAAAAGCTGCAAAAGAACGACTCACTGCCTACAAAAAGCTCAGCCAGTATCAAATGCGCCACATGTCCCACGGTCACAGCCAAGGGGCCAGTATTTGGTCTGCTCCTCCTCCTGCCCGAAACAAAACGCTGGGAATGGGCTGGTGAGAAGAAATGTCATTAATGAGACTCCGAGTCACCGGGGTTCGAATGGGCCCATGGGCATGCTGAAAGCACCCGTCTGGCGCACGGAACCTTTTTGCTATCCGTTGAATGGGGCCCCTGACTCGCAAGACTCGAGCCAAAAAGCGGGGTGCTGTGGTAGCCCCTACCCAGCGGGGCTAAACACGTTCGACCCATCGACATGAAGGGCGGACGTAACATCTGGCCAGCACATGGCTTAGGAAGATCATTGGCAATTGCCAACAAACCGATTCCTGTTCGGGGGCCGCCTCACCGGGAAAAAGAAAACGACCAACAGTTCAATGCCCCCCGGCAGCCTTGAAAAAAAAACCGGCCCGAGCGCGCGGGCGATTTAAGGCATGCCGTCAACTAACCCCAACAAAAAAAGAATCATGGCCGCGCCGCGAAGGCCGTGGTTTCCCGTCCGGCCAAACTCCTGAACGGCCTCTTGGCGTCAGAGCCCAAGCCAAGTCTCACATGAGCGATTCATTCATCGAGCTAGCCGTTTAACGGCAATGAAAAGCCGCGCTTGCCACCCGAGCGTTGCAAGCAACATTACCTTCACGGGGAGGGATGTGGGATGCTGCATTTATTCTCCTCTAGTTGAAAAGCTACAAAACACAAGCAAGTTTGTATCAAAATAGCGGACGCCCGAATGATTGCTTTCCGTATACCTTAGCTTTAAGCAGGACTCCTCCAAACAAAACAAATTAGCAAACCGTTTGACCAATTAGAAGCCCCAGCAGATTCCAAATCCAAAGACACAGCTCATAGTCACCTGATTGCCCCTTCTCTTTCAACCAAACAAAACTGAACTCAGATTCCAAAATCCAACTCCGACATACCCAAACAAAGACACAGCTCAACGTCTGGGCTGTCCAAACTGATCCCCCGCAAGAAGCCTAACTTTCAGTGAGTGAACATCGGAAATCCAACCACGAAAAACCAACCAAAAAGCCGAAAAGCTGGAAAAAGAAAGAAAACCGCTGGGTAGAACTCGGAGCTCCAACCACTGACCCAACCCAAAAAAGCCCCCGCAAAAGAACACCTCAGGGAACCGGACGGCCTTCAGGAGCCAAGTCCGGGGTCCCCGTTTCGGGCCACGCCTTGACGTCCTCCAGCTCATGAAGCTGAGAGAATCCTTGATTCGCTCGGGGGCTCTGGCTGGGGTGGCTGGGGATCACAACCCCCACGCCATCCATTACTCGGTTGCTGTGGAGCCCTCTGCAAAAGGCTGCTTTCGCTTCTTGGGGGTTTAGTGGAACACCCATTGAATTCTCATACAGTGAAAGTCTAAAGATGCAACCCAAGAGCAGTCAAGATTATGATTAGTCATGGTTGGTGAACCTGAGCGTGTAAAAACCAGTCCAAAGAGATGGGAGATACTCTCCCACCTGCTAACCTGGAACCTGACTGCAGGGTTCCTCTGAATCATGCCGGCGGGCGTTCGACAAAGTTGGCCGAACGCAGACAAGAACTTCGTGCATCTGTCACTTGAACTCATCACACTTTTCAAAAGGTCTGTAGAGGACTCACCAAACTTGGTTGCCTTCTGCTCCCCTGCTAAAAGTTTTAACTTTTAGTGGTTGAGTGGAAACCTCAATAGTTGGCAAAAAGTTAAAGTCCTAACATCCAAGCAAAATGCACCAACGCAACGGGTTTGCAGAACCTAGTCCATGTTTTTGGTTAGAGCCAAGGGCACACATCACCAAGCGATGGCATTTCCAGCCATCCCTTCATCTTGTCCTCTCACCAAGCTTCCATTTGCTTAAGCCCTGGGAAAAATCAAATCATATTTCCGGTAGTGATAAATTCCCTTTAAAACCAAGAGGGCAAAATAAACATATTCTTAAGCAAATAGAAGCAAGGAACCATGACCAGGTAAAACACCTATGAACACTGCCAAATTGAATTGGGAGCCCAAGCAAATCCAGCTTCCATGCAAAGAACATGCCTTGGATGTGGAGAGGGTGATCATGACACCCACACCTTCACTCGTATTGATATCGTGATCTGATTGTCTAAGTGCTTTGTTGGGGAGGGGGCTAAGAACAGTTCTCAAGCAAGCTTGGAAAGCATATTCCACATGAGTCTTTCGATTACCCTCCCACCAGCTAACATGGAAGTGCGCAAACCCCTGTAGAAAGACGACTTTCCTCTTGGAAAGGGGCCAAATGTGCACTTCCATGTTAGTTGGGAGGGTAGGGACTTCAATCAGTGGCTCGTTGAGGGTTCATGGGGTTAACTTTCCCTGAACCACCAAACCGCGTCATGGCACTTCCATGTTCGTGGGAGTGTTTCCCCTGTTGGTTGGCTTTGAAGGGGATCCATCACTAGATTGTTGCCATTGTTTGTCCAGTTTCCCCTGCTGGTTGGTTTTAAAAAATTAAAGGGTATCCATCACTGGATGTTGCCATTGTTTTTCCAGCGCACTACTGGGGCACCTAGTGGCATCTTCCACCTGAGTCTTGCGATGAAAGCTGAGCTCATGCCAAGGCGCTGTCACGAGGCGCGGAAGCGGATGGGTAGTTGCACCTCACCAGCTGCAAGCGTAAGGCTTCCGATCCATGCCGTCCTTCAACACAACTCGGGCATGTGTCAGAATAAGAGGGGACCCAAAAATGGGACAAACAAGGGACCCCCAACAAACCTTCAACAAAATGAGGCCCCAAAAATGGTGGTTTCCCTTCAACAAACCTAAAAAAGAGGGACCCCCAACAAAAAGATGTGGTGTCCATTCAACCCTTTAAAAGGGGTAGTACCCGGGCCTCTGACTGCCTGAGTGGGATGTTCGGTAGAACCCAACCCATGGTGTGCATTGATGATCTTTGACGTATGTGTTCTTCTGCTGGAAAATCACAAAACGCGGGCGATGTGACCTGCAAAGCTTGATCGTCCAAAGAGGGGGGGGGCTGGGGAGGCAGCTGAAACTCCATCAAAATTGTGGATATTAAGAAAGGAGTCTAGAAAAACCCTGTTGGGTAAGCTAAAGTCTATGGTTGCAGTACATGAATTTGCTTGCGCAAGCCAGGAAAAAACAAAAAAAACAAAAGACAAAAAATGTGTGTTTTCTTCTTCTTCTTTTTTCTGGTAGTGATAGATGTCCGTTAAACTTAAATCCCAACAGGGGCAAACCAAAAATAGTCTTACTGTTGACCCCAAGTTAATCAACCGCAGTTCATTTACGGGGGGGGGTGCTCCCCTCCAAAAAGGGGGAACCTTAAACAAAAAAAGTATAAAGGGTGAGAAAAAAAGGGAGCCCCTCCAAAAGTGATGTGTTTCATTTTGCTTCAAAGACAAAAGAAAGAACAAAGGCAAACAACTCAGGGACCCCCCGGGTCAACATGACACGGACATGGAAGACTCGACTCGCGCGAGGATTTCTGAGACTCCGGCTCCCGAGGGTAAGCCTCATGCATCCACTGCGCGAAGAGCCGCCCGTGGATGGGCACCTCAGACCCCGATGTGGGTTCAGGGTGGGTGTTGGGTTCTTTAGGTTGCGAGGACTTGTTGGGGTTCATTTTGGTGTTGGGTCTGGGGTTGAGGATTCGGGTTTTTTGGTTCAGGGTTTTGGGGATAGAGGGTATTGGGATTTAAACCGGGAACGCCATGGAGGGGGTTTGGGATTAGAATTCATGGAGTTCGTTTGGCGGGGTTTAAACACAAAAAACAACTTAATGTCTTGAGCCCACAATCCAGAGTACGCCATTAAAGACACTGCCAAAAGCGCGGTTTAAGAGAAATGACCGAGACCGTGGTAAGTCAGAGACATCATCTTGGGACCAAACCGTACAATTCGCCAAAACACAGGATCAACAGAGTTGGAGCCTCTGAGTTTTCAGGCACTGTTCCCGGGCCCCACATGGCCTGAGGCTGTGGCTCAAAAAAGAGTTGGACGCACCCCTAGCAGGTGCCCATGAATGCCTTTTGGTCGAGTTTTGCTAGCTGCCGATGTCAAAGGGTTGGCTTCATGAGAGCAATCTAGCTGACCGTTGCCACAGAGTACACTGGCCAGACAAAAGTTGCGCTTCTTGAAGGTCAGAGCGATGACATAAATTTAAAAATCATTTAAAACAGGGTGATAATTGACCGTCCCACGCCTGCCACACGGAACGCACTTGTTAATTCGATCCGCCACTGACCCGATAGTATCTCTCCAAAACAGCCAAGAAGCATAAACGTTTGTCTGACTGAAGTAAAGTGACCCAAAAGCCGGACCTAGATTCTCCTGCAAGAACTGCTTAGTTTTCGCAGCTCGAAAGAAAGGAAAGCAAAACAAGGTAAAAGGCAAGGCGAAGGTTGAAGAGACAAAGAAAGCAAACAAGCCTCAAGAGGAGGGGAGCAGCAAATGAGCATAGAGGAAACACAGGGCTCCCTATATTTCGCCTTCAAGCATCAGTTAAAGGTGATGTTTAAAACCACCTTTTAAAGGGACATATAGTGACCCCTGAAACATGAAGCAAACAAACAACTCAGTTGCCCAAAGACCCATCATCAAAGGCTAGCTTTTCGGGGCCATGACTAAATATCAGGGAAAACCAGAAGGTCAAAAGGTCGATTCGCTTTGTCCCTCCCACCAATTAACATGCAACCTGCGCGGAAGCAGGGGGGGTGGGGTGCTGGAAGACTGCTTTCCATTTAAAAAGGGAACCTCCTGAGAAAAGTCCAAACTTTTTATTTAGCACTATAATGGACTTCCCAAAAAGTGACTAAAGCCCCAAAAAGTGACTAAAGTCCAGGAACTCGGGAAGTGAGACAAAAGGATCCTCCAAAGCCGCTGGTATTGGGGTGACGTTTTTGACTGCTTTCGTTTTGAAGGGAACCCCTGCCGGGTTCCATGTGTTTCTCACTTCCTGAGTGGATGGCCCAAAAAAGTCCAAACTTTTTATTTACCACTAAAATGGTCCAGACCCAAAAAGTGACTACAGTCCAGGAACTCAGGAAGTGAGTATTTCAGGGATCCTTACATTATACACCTGAACATTGCCTTGTAAATGGTGGTTTCCCTCTATTTGGTGTTGAAAAAAACACATGTTTCAAATGGTTGCAAAATGGAGATCGTTTAAGGAGCCCTTTAAAAGCAGATGGTTGCAAATTGTTTCCCTTCAAAACCAACAGGGTAAAAAAAAAACAAAAAAACACATATTCATTTCAGCAAATGGAGGTTCTTTGCTGGAAGGCTAACAACCCAGACGAGAAAGCCGCTGGGGCTGCGGGCGGATCCGCCGTGGTGGCTGGCCACCTCGTCCAGCAGCTGCAGCAGGTGCGGCGGAAGCCTCCCAGGGCGGGATCTGGGGCTGGAAAAATCGGACCCCAGCAATTGTTGTGTTTGTCCTTTTTGCTTGGTTAGTGGCAAAAAACAAAAAGGGGAGCTAATTCTGGAATATCTTTTTTGCCTGGTTAGTGGTGGCTGCCCCCAAAAAAAGAAGAAAAAACCGATAAGCTCAGGTGATCCCCAACAGTATGCGTTGCTCTTTTTAATGCTCGCACCACCACGCAGCCCTCGCAGAACCTCGTGGAACTCTGGTGGAACCCTGGTGGAACCCTCGTGGAACCTTCCCGCAGGGCCGCCCCGGACCATCCCGGAGCCTATCTGGGCTGAGACCCCAAAGCTTTCGGCTGTTGGGGAAAAAGGGGAGCTAATTCTGGGGAAGGGTGTTTTTTTGGGGGTCCTTTTGTTTTCCACTACTCAGTTGTTCAGCGACCCTGCAACAAAAATCTATCTGGCTGTGGCTCAAAATGTTCAACAGAAGGTGCAAACCGCAGGTTTTGGTCCATTTCCACTTACCAGGGTTCCATTTTGGTACCGTTTTTTTGAGCCACAGCCATCTTTTTTGCCTGGTTAGTGGAAAACAAAGGGACCCCAAAAAAGCAACAACAAAAAAGGGAGCTAATTCTGGGGAAGGGTATGGTCCAAACTTAAACCACCAGGGGACCGCAGGTGTTGGTCCTTATTTCCATTTACCAGATTCCATTTTGGGCCCACATTATTGACCCACTGCCGTCTGGATCTCCAGTCTCGCTCTCTCTCTCTCTCTCTCTCTGCCGTTGGGTCCAGAGCTGGGTCGCTTTCTGCTCCCCTGCTTAAAGTTGAGAACTTGTAGTGGTTTAATATGAAAAACTCCGTCTTTTGGGGCAAAAAGTTAAAGTCCTAACATCGAAGCAAAATACACCAAAGAGAGGGTCTTGACTCAGCAAGGCAGCGAAAAGGTGCCCACTGATATTCAGGGGCACCAACAACATACTAGGAGGACATCCAGTGGATGGACGAAATCCGCCTCTCGCACAACTTTTCGAAGCCATGGTTGAAACCATTACGTTTGTTGGTATTTGCAGGGGAACCGAATCATTCCAGGGTTTCTTAGGTGGTGCGAAACCATTACGTTTGTTACGGCATTTACGTTGGGGAACCGAATCATTCCAGGGTTTCTAGGTGGTGCAAGATGTTCGTCCATCCACGGTAGGACAAAAGAAACGAATTGCCACATGCCCTTTGTTTGATACCTTTTTTACATTCTTTTGACCGAATCTGAAAAAACAAACCGGAATTGTCACATGAAATGTTTTGATACATTGTGTTCAAACGTGCTTTAAAGGGAATCAGAAGAAAATAACGCGGAATTGGCACCTTCCGTTTGTTTGATAAATGGGAATCTGAAAACAAAACAAAATACGGAATTGTCACATGATTTGTTGGCCAAATGTGTTTCACATATTTTGAAGGGACTCTGACCCCCCAAAAAAAGGAATCCCACGAGGAAAAACCATAATGGGCCTTTACAACCCGTGGTATGGTGGCAAAAAGCTGATTGTTTTTTGCTCCCACAATGAACCAATTTCGAGGCCTCTGCAAGAAGTGCTTCACTTGTTGTGAGTTAATGCAAAATTGGAAACTTCCATTTGGTTAAGAGCCCTGGAACAAATAAACATATTTCCAGTAGTGATAGAGTCCCTTTAAAACGAACAGGGGAAAATAACAATATTCTTAAGCAAATGGAAGCAAGCCATCAACCAAAAAGTTCAAGTCCAAAGATCCAACCAAATAGCCATAAAAAACAAGCCCCTTCCCAGGTTATGGGGTGGTTTGGTTGCTGGGGAGCTGCTGGGGATACCACCCTTCCCATGCCCGGGTAGGTTATGGGGTTTTGGTTACTCCGGAGCTGTTGGGGATACCACCTGGGCTTATGTTGATAGTGGCTTTTAAACGAAATCCCCCCACCACAAACGCAAGCTCCTTTTGGTTTACCTGGGTGAGTAAACAATTTCACTACATCCGGAAACCACTACTGTGGATGGCCGAAATCCACTTCGCACCACCGTTCAGAAACCCTGGAATACTGATTCCCCTGAAAATAGCAACAAACGTTCTGGTTTCGCATGGTTTCGAAGTGGCCCGAAATGGATTTTGTCCATCCACAGTAGGATCTGGAGGGCCAGGGGCTGCACAAAACACAAGCCTTTGCGGCAGCTGAGAGATACCCAGTACCAGTGACCAGTGCAATTTCGTTCCCCTTCACTGTGGCAGGCGCGGCAACACCCAAACTCCCAGCAGCAATCAGGTGCATTCTGCCTGTTTTCAAGAGACACCCTATGTCTGTTTTTTCTTCAGGCCGGAGAATGCCGTGGTGGTGGCGCTGGGCATGTCCCACTGGAACCAGTGATCCCGGCAGCAAAGGGAAATCCGTTTTGGGATTGAACACGTTTAGAGGGCAAACCAAGCAGAAGACAAAGGGTGTTGCTAAACAACTGAAGATACGGCTCAGTTGCCCAAGGGACCCAGAAACAAAAGGATAACCGTTTGGGGCCATGACCAGAATCGGACCAAAATATGAACTAGACCACGGCTGGCCCGAAAGCATAACATCGCAAGCGAGGTTGGCCCAACGCTGCAGGATGCGTTCTTTTTCCCTACACGAAGCATTCGTGAAGCAAGCGCGAGACAGCACCAGGCAAGGTGCTCTGCGCAAACTGGTCGGTGCAAGTTGGTCTGTGCAAGTTGCTCGGCGCAAGTTGCTCCGCGCAAGTTGCTCCGTGCAAGTTGGTCCCTGCAAGTGGCTCCCTGCAAGTTGCTCTGTGCAAATTGCTCCGTGCAAGTTGCTCCCTGCAAGTTGCTCTGTGCAAGCTGCTCTGTGCAAGTTGCTCTTTGCAAGTTGCTCTGCGTAAGTTGCTCTGCGCAAGTTGCTCTAGGCATGGTCGGTGCAAGTTGGTCTGCGCAAGTTGCTCCGTGCAACTTGCTCTGCGCAAGTTGCTCTGCGCAAGTTGCTTTATGCAAGTTGCATCTTGCGACGCCCGCCCGCAGACCAGGGAGGAATCGAACCCGCGACCCGCCGGTCCCGGGAGAGGCGCGCGAACCACGAGACAACTCCCGAGGACCAGTTCGAACAACAAAAGCCGCAAAAAACCTTGAGTTTTTGCACCTCGACCACGCCGACTCCCGCAGAGGGTTGCGCGAGCACCGCATAAATCGAAAAAAACCTCGAGTTTTTGCACCTCAACCACGCCGATCCCCGCAGGGGAAATCGCAAAAAAAACACGAGTTTTGCACCTCGACCCCGGCGATGTCGCGCGAGCATGTTAAAAAACGCAAAAAACCTCGAGTTGTTGCACCTCGACCACGCCGATTCCCGCAGAGGGTCGCGCGGAAACCTTAGAAATCGCAAAACAAACTTGGGTTTTTGCACCTCGACCACGCCGATCCCCGCAGAGGGTCGCGCGAGCATGTTAAAAAAAACGCAAAAAACATGGGTTTTTGCACCTCGGCCACGCCGATCCCCGCAGAGGGTCGCGCGAGCATGTTAAAAAAAGCAAGAAACCTCGAGTTTTTGCACCTCGACCACGCCGATTCCCGCAGAGGGTCGATTTTCGTGTAGTGTCATCGGCACGACCCCACCGCCCTAAGAAGAGATTTTAACTCCTCGCAAGTCAATTGCACTTGACTCCTTGCACTTGCAACTTGCACTTGACTCCACGCACTTGCAACTTGCACTTGACTCCACGCAATTGCAACTTGCACTTGGCTCCTTGCACTTGCAACTTGCACTTGACTCCTTGCACTTGCAACTTGCACTTGACTCCATGCACTTGCAACTTGCACTTGGCTCCACGCACTTGGCTCCTTGCACTTGGATCCTGGCACTTGGCTCCTTGCACTTGCAACTTGCACTTAACTCCGTGCACTTGCAACTTGCACTTGACTCCATGCACTTGGCTCCTTGCAACTTGCACTGACTCTCATGACTCCTTGCAATGACTCCTTGCAATGACTCCTTGCAATGACTCCTTGCAATGACTCCTTGCAATGACTCCTTGCAATGACTCCTTGCAATGACTCCTTGCAATGACTCCTTGCAATGACTCCTTGCAATGACTCCTTGCAATGACTCCTCCTTGCAATGACTCCTTGCAATGACTCCTTGCAATGACTCCTTGCAATGACTCCTTGCAATGACTCCTTGCAATGACTCCTTGCAATGACTCCTTGCAATGACTCCTTGCAATGACTCCTTGCAATGACTCCTTGCAATGACTCCTTGCAATGACTCCTTGCAATGACTCCTTGCAATGACTCCTTGCAATGACTCCTTGCAATGACTCCTTGCAATGACTCCTTGCAATGACTCCTTGCAATGACTCCTTGCAATGACTCCTTGCCATGACTCCTTGCAATGACTCCTTGCAATGACTTTCATGATGATGATTCCTTGCAATGATACCTTGTAATGACTCTCATGAGAACAACTCAAGTGAACCCAGCGGAAGAACCCTTCGCCATGCTTTCGGAAAAACAAATCGGTTTTGGACAACTGAGAGTACTAAAAGTACACATCAACGCGGGACACAACATGACAAATACACGCCCGCCACTGAAACGAATCGCCCGCTTCCACCCTTCCCGTCCGTGTCTCTCTCCAAGCCCCGGGCGTGCGGTTGGTAGGTTGGGAGGCAGAAGGAAGGCTGGACACCTGGGCTCGGAGAAGCACCAAGCCACTCAGGTCCTCCGGTAGCGAGGGTCGAAGCAGCATAGGTGTCCTTTTTGGTTGAAATTCGATGGGTTTCCCTGGCAGTTGATAAAAACACCAGGTAAACCAGCGCGCCCATTTTTTCAACCAAATCAACCAAAAAGGACACCTATGCGAATAAGAGTACCCTTTTTTCTGTGATCTACTTCAGTAGGAGAACCCTCCCCCAAAAAAAGAGTAACAGGGCACTACTGGGGGACCTAGACAAAATTAATGTTGATCCCACATTTGTCAACCAACCAGTTTATAAATAGGGGGGTGGAGGCCCCTCCAACAGTGATGATTCCCCACTATATTCAAGGAAACCCCCTATCAATAAACTGGGGCTTATAAATCGGGGGTCAACATTGCGCATCAGTTTTTGCGTCTTTGAACTTGCACTGGACAAAGCGATTTGCCAACAAATATATCAAATTTAGACAAACACTAGAAGGCCGAATGGGAAAGTTGAGCGAGATGTGAACTCGAGCCAGCCAAGGATTGGCAACAATCACACGGACACGGGACACAAGAAGCGCCGTGCCTTCGCCGGAGGTCTTCTTCTCACCTTCTAGCCTTGATGTACTCAAATGGAAGGCCGAAACATGTACAAACATGACTTTAGCCACTGAGATTCGCCTGAACCGCCCATAAAGTTCATGCAGCGTTTCCTCCCACAAATCGAAGCTCGGCAAAACCCAGCCAAAGCTTGAGTGAGCCGCCAGTGCTGCGATTTGCTCCGGCGTGCCTCGGGTGGGGCGGCCCAAATCCGACCACCTCAACCCCCAGCACCCTCTACCAAGATCCAGCGGCACCCGAAACTGGCATTCACTTCGCGATCTCAGAAACCAGTATCGTCTTTCTTTTAGTTGACATTCGCCCTCCTCAAACAAGACAACCAAGTAACCAACATGCCAAGACGCGGCTGGTCAAACGACCTCAAAAAAAGTTGCCAGCACCACCCGCATCGCGGTTCAGCGAGCAATGCGAAGCGCAGCTGAACGCAACAAACAGCACAACAAACAATTATGAAGTGGGCATGTTCTCCCCTCATGGGTGAAACCTTTGACAGTTCGAAGCAGATTTACCCCACGCCACCGTCTGAATTTGACCAAACCGCTGCCTGCCACAAAACATTGCAGTACTCTAGTTTCATTTTCTCTGCTTCGAGAGAAATGATTGTTATTGATACAACTCCATGTATGGTACCAGCGGTAAGCTGCATAATGCAACGGCAGGTTGGGGGGGTAGTCCTAAACCCTTCGTGGTTGCACTGCAACCATGATTTAGATATACGGACAGGGCACATGCTCGTGAATACTTACTTGTTGCCACAAGTATGCTCGGCATCTCCCGATGTCGGTACCATCAGCCATCTCAAATTCAAATGGTTCACATTTTGCATCAGATACTTGGTCTTTCCGGGAATGTTGGACATAGGCATCAGGTGCAAATAGTTGGCCTAGCTAGTGAGAAACCTCACCAAGCATGGCTTCCTGCCAAGCTTTCGATGGCTACTGGTGGTCACTGGCAGCACCAAAACTTGGCACGCAGGGCAGGGTCACATGCCAACAGCTTTAGAGGCCTATTGGATTCCTTTTGGATGTCTTGCATTTCAAGCGAAACTGGAGATGTGCCATCACATTGCAGCCAATACATAAGCAAGGGGTACATGATACAGTATGTGCTTCACTTCGCTTGGGAAAAACATGGCTTTGGGTAGTGAACATCCTCTTCGAGTACATTCGCATGAATTTCCAAAACCTGCAATATGGGATGCCCAAGGAAAGGATCTTTACCATGGCGAGCTTGTTTTACCCCCAGGCGAGCTCGCTATAAAATAGGCAAACATCATGACATGGGATGCAATGTGGCAACACCGTCTTTTCAAGCCCCTTCCTTTTCCCTTGCGCTCTCCGCACGTAGCCAAGCGAGGGGTGTCCAATGTCCCGCCTTCCGTCTGGTCATTTCCAGGGACGTAGCTGTAAGTTCTACAATTCCAAAGCCTAAGGGTTCGGATCAAGAATCTGCTGCCCTCAGATACCTTAACTTTTGGTGGGGCAAATGGAAACTACCACTACACACCAAAATAACTAAAAGGCTAAGGGGATGGCTGGGAGCCACCAAGATATCTTCTACATTTCCAAAAGCTGAATTAAGACTTGGGATCCCCCCCCCCCAAAAAAAAAAACACACACACAAAAAACAACGACCTTTCTCACGGTGTTCGCTTGTTCTTCCCCCCGAAACGCTGAGCTCGCTATAGACCCCCTTGACCCAAAAGAAGACCAAGGCGCCAGTGGGCGCCTCGAGTTGCTTCTCCACCTCGCGAGGCGAAAGACCCCACCGTTTTTGGGGCTGGCTTGAAATGGTTAAAATGTCACATCCGACCGAGTGGACTTGCCCCGTTTTTGGGTTAGCTCGGGATGGAACAACCACTTTTAACCGCGGACTGGCCTTAAAACACCTCCGAACTTCTCATCCGATGAACGGCCCAGGAGCTCAGAGAGTGAGGCATTTTCTTCATTCGTCCGTGCTTTGCTCCATACCTGGGACGCCTTTTTTGGTTGGCTTCCATGTTCTTTGGTCGGTTGGCCGGTCAGCAAGAGCAAAACCTAAGAATTGTCAGTGTTGTTCCATGCCTGGAACATCATTCTTGGAAGCCATGTCTTGAAATGGAGACCAAGCTTGGGCATTTGCTGGCGGATCTTTCGACTTTCATTTTCGGGTGAAGCAACCTGGCCCCACGAAAGGTTACACGCTTGTTGCACAGGGGTCAGCAGCAACCAAGACGCAAAACCTAACAATTTTCTGTGTCAACCCAAATTGTGGGAGCCCTAATGCTCTCTTCCTATGGTTGTCAAGGGCCCCCTAGATGCGCCGCGCCTCCCATCCCTAGGGGCGCCTCCAATCCCAATTTCTAGGCCCTTTGAATTCCCTCTATTGCCAGCGGTGAGACGAGCCGTTTGCCCTAGCCCAGCAAGTGCGAATTCACAAGGCTCCTGACCTGAAGGGCAAACGTGCGGCTGTGATGGATCCAGTGTTTTGGACACGCTCCCATGCTCTTTCCATGCTTCCGGCTTCCTTTCGAACGCGCGTGGCCTACCAGCTCGTCGGAGCGCTGATTCTCAGAAAGCTGCTAAGGCTGTTGCAGAAGTAGCTAGATGTTGCGCGTGACTTGCCCCAAGAGTTTAACGTTGCGGTCTTGCAGCATTGCAAAACCTCTCTTAGCAGAGTAAGCCTCTTAATATGGGCTAATAGGTCAATCATTAAAGCAGGCAGCAGGCTTCCCCCAAAGAAGCCTAAAACTTTCATTATCCAAAACCCTCCTGTCAGCGTCCAGCTTTGTGGGTGCGCCGGGGGGGGGGGGGTCTTTGAAGTGGCTGATTCCGTGAAATCTGAAAGGGAGCCGAAGATTACATCTAAAATAAGCCGTGACACCAAAGCAGGTTTATTCCTGTATCAAAAATTATCCTGGTACCAGTAGAACCAGGATTTCCTCAACCATGGGTTGCGATCAAACCCAAAGCTAAGGAGTCAGAAAGTGAAGGAGCCTCTCTTGAATAGGACAACCCCTAAAAATCAACAAGCGTTTTGAATTCACAGTTTGCATCTTCGGGTGTTTTGGCCAAGCAAAGTCCAAACTTCTTACCTCTTACAATCGCGGGAGTGGAAGGTTTAAGATGGCAAGTCCTTCAAAACCGCAATGGATGTATTTTTTCTATCTCCAATTGGTGGTTTGGATTGGTGGTTTGGAAGTTGGGGGGAGTGTCCCATGTACCCTCTGCAGGAACCAGGGGTTCAAATCTCCAAGATCACCCATCCAAGCCACAAATGACGGGTACCCGACAGAAGGTAGCCTAAAAGAAGAAGCGCACTCGAAGGCTAAGCGTAAGCCAAACCCCTCTTGGTTCCATGTTTGTTGGGAAACCTGAAACTAAGTCACAATCAAAACCGATCGGTATGAGAAAATGAACTACCCAAATTCATGCTTCAGGAAATGAAAAGGCGGCTATTCGCTCCCACGTATGGCAAGGGGGCCTTCCCGTGCTAGCCTGCATCTACCCGAATCGGTTTTGTGCAACTGGCCCGACTGGAGTTAACAACCTGAAATTTGACCCGACTCATCTAACCCTGCAGCTGGGGGGTGAGACACGGGACCCATCCCGAAGAGACTTTGTCACTGAAAATTCGAGGGGAACTCCCTTTGTGTAGAAAGTGGCCCTACCGCCCTGTTTCCCACAACTGTATTCTTGGTTGCTGTAACGACCCCTCTGCGGAAAGTTAACTTTTTGTGGGTCCAATGGAACATCCGCTGTTTCCAAAAAAGTTGAAGTCCAAAGATCCGTTTCCAACTAGCAATCAAGTATTCACTTGGCAAAAGGCCAGCTTGATGTTGGCAACTTCAGGAAATAGGTGATGACTCTCAAGCTCACCCACAATCCACTAAGCTACTAGATACCAGCCCCAGCAGGGTTCCTCGAGGCTTCACCCACAAAAAACACCTTCTGTGCCTTCCACATCTGCTACTGGGTGACTTTGGGACTGGCTGTTTTTTCTCCGAGAAAACCCCACCCAAAAAAAACAAACAAAAACGGCTCAGACACCCCCCCCCCCGCCCGGTGGCCCCTGATGGCCTGGTCCATCAAGTTCTCGCACTCGTCGAAGCAGCCTTGGGATTCGTGGTCTCCATTTGGGGAACATGTCCCGTCCCCTGGCATAAGCTACCTAGACCTTCCGTGACCCTCGAACAATGGGTCCATGACCCCTTAATTTTGGGTAATGACCCCATTTTTTAAGGGTCATGGAGACTCCAGGTAAATGTCCAGTAGTGGTAGGTTACCCTACAATCCCGACCGGAGACAATCTTAAGACAATGAAAGGTTGTCATTGGGATCCCATTTTGGGGTAGGCGCGCCGCCCATTTTAGTCTATTTTTGGTGGGGACTGGGATGTTCACTGGGGGTACGGGCTTTTGACCCATGGCCATATGTCCAGTAGTGGTAGGTTCCCTTTCAATCCCAACAGGAGACAATCTCTTGGCTGACGTTGGAAGGGGAGCAACACCTTTTTCAATCTTGGCAGTTAAGTGGTTGGATTTCAACCACTACACCACAATAAGCAAATTGTTTCCAATGTTTCCCAACAACAACCATGATCTTCAGACAATGAAAGGTTGTCATGTGTTCCGAAAGGACTCCTGCACCCCCAGTAACGGGGCTCGAAACGAAATGCGAGCCTGCTGCAAGTTGCACAAAGACCATCCTTTCAGCATGCATGACTGGCAATCACAGTGACTTCTTAACGAGTTCTCACGCGCGTGTGAATGCAAACGGAATCGGTCATGTTACACTGTTGACTCCAGATTAATGTGAAAGTCCGTGATTCAGTGAGGGCGCTCTCCTCTGATTAGGGACCTCCAGGTATATCTGAAGCTAACTTCAATTCTTCCATGATTCTCAAATTCTACACTACTTGGTTGCTGATGACCCGTCTGACAAAGTGTTTACCTTTTTGTGGGTCCCATGGAAGATCGGAAGATCCATCATTTCCAAAAAAGTTAAAGTCCAAGGATCCACCAAAGCATCCCCAAACAAGATTCAGACCCTTGTTACCTGGGGTGTTTTCGTTTAGCCCTCTAATAAGTTAAAGTCCAAATCCGTTACCAAATAGCAAAAAAAAAGAAGTGCCAAAGCCTGAAATATGCATTGGATCCGCAAGTGCAGCACCCTTGCGTCAGCTCGCTGAGTCCAGGATTTGTTCATGTCACAATGTGTCACTTTGTGAGCTCAGCTCAATATATTGTTTTGAACAGGAGTCTTAGAACAAAACACCGTTGACGATGGCTGCTTTCATTTTTCGTCAGCTGGAACTGGCACCCACCACTACCCCCCCTACCCTCCCTACCTGCGGCTGCAGCTGGGTCCCAGACAAATGCCATAGTAGCCTGGGAGTCAAGCAAAGGCCAGCGGCATCCTGTTTTCCAAGCCACCTGTTTCTTGATCCTGTTTCTTGATCAGGTTGGTGATCCATTTGCTTAAGTCCTCTGGACCAAAAAATCCAGTTGTCATAGATTCCCTCTAAAACCAACAGGGAAACATGAATAATATTCTAGGTCCTCCAGTAGAGAGGTTAGAATAAGGGTACCCTTTTTTCTCTAGTCTATTTTAGTAGGGGAATGTCCAAATGAAGGAACGCTGTTGGTATTCCTGCAAAGCCTCAAGCAGCACATGCCCATTTTGACTTTTGCACATTCTGGGTCCCAAAAAGCAAGCTCAAAGGGGCCAAACAACAAAAACTACCCAGGGATTCACCCTCCAAACACGGATGTGCAAAGAATCTGCGAAAGGAAAGTCGTCTAAAAGGGGCCCGGGAGGCTGAGGGCATGGGGAGTCCTCGCATTTTGACGCCACCAATCGGCCATGCTGAACCAAGTTGCATGCGCCTGTGCAGGGATCCTTACACTATACACCTCAACATTGCCTTGTAAATGGTGGTTTCCCTTTATTTTGGTGTTGAAAAAGCCATGTTTCAAATGGTTGCAAAATGTATCTTTTAAGGAGCCCTGCTGTGGCGTTCGTTTATCGTTCTTCTCAGGTCGCTCTGGAAATTCAAATTTGGATCCCCCCCGCTCCTGGGGACCAGCTAGCAAACCTGGTTGCAATGACATAAGCTGCGTGCATGCCATGTTGGCTGGATTCGCTTCCGTGTCCTCAACACGAGGTAACTCGTGTTGAATTTGCGGCAAGTTCCACCAAGCAGTCAAGTGGCATTTACCCTCTGGCCCTATCAAAGGATCAAGGCCTCACGCTGCATGCCGGTGCATTGAAACATCCACCCAGCCCTTGACTGGATTTCCAGCGGGAGAATCTCCAGGTCCTAGACTCAAAAGTTCGCGGCCGCTTCCGCAAATGTGTCTGTGTGTGTGCTGCATTGGTTGAGGGTAAAGGGAAAACTCGCCGAGTTAGACACATAAATCAACTTGTGGGTGTCCGCCTCTACCTTAGATGCAACGTTCAACCGACAGCGTCGAGTGGCCGGAAGGTTGCACGCAATTGGAGGGGCTGGCCAGGTAGTTGGGAATGATCACCTCGCCAGGGCAGGTCTCTTTTGGGCATATAAGGAAGCTGCTGGGTGAATCACATGTTTTACCCTCCTTTGTGCACGACATCCCCTGGAAAAATGAAAAATACAGAGGGGGAAATAAAACATATCCTGCAAATGGAAGTTACGATCGGAGACCTTTGCCTTGACGCTGGGGGCATGTCAACAAACCTGCTGTGGACGGTTTAAATCCTGGATATCCTGGGATCTACGCTCCCCCCATCCCGGTTTCCTAAGCAAACCAATTTGAAAACCCGATTTGACCCACAACCTGGCAAAAGCATGTCCAGTAGTGATCCCTTTCAGTCCGACAGGGAAAAATAAAACATGTTATTAAGCAAATGGAAGGAACCGTGGCAACAAAAAGCTTGAAGTCGTTGCAATCTGAATCTGGATTTAAAAGGGAATCCAAAAGGAAAACCAAAGCCATTTTGGGTGGTCCTCAGATCCCCCAAAGTTAAGCGTTTACGGGGTTAAATGGAAACCGCCACCAATCCAACTAAACAAACCTGAAAAAACAAGGAACCGGATGGCTGACAACCACTATGCTTTTAGTCGTTCTTGGGGAGGAGGTTGCGATTCCTCAAAAAACACCCCCTAACGGATGTGTTGTTTAAGGAGTCGGGCCCCTAAAATGAGGGGTTTTCCCTTGCGGCGCAAGTTTTAAACACCACACAAGAGGGGTACCAACTTCAAAAAAAGGACACGCCCAAAAGTCTGTCTCGCTGTTCATCTCTACTCTTGGTATGGGCTGGCAAAAAACTGACTGTTTTTTGCAGACCCCCAGTAAAAATGAACAAAACCAAAAAACGCTAACAAAATGAACAAAACCAACAAACTTTAAAAAATCAAAAATGATCCAAGAACAGCGAAGTGAGCTTAAAAGTCTGTATGGCCGTGCCTTGGGGTCGTCCGGGTTGGACTCGTCCAGGATCCCGTTGGCGCGCAGATAGGCCGGGCCCTCCGTGAAGTGCACATCCAACTGCCGGATCGATCCGCGGGGGTTCGCTTCGTTTCGTCGCCGGCCGGGGGGTCGGTTGGGTCGGTTGGGTCCTGTAGGCGGCTTTTGGTTGAGGGTTCACTTTTCGAGTGGGCCAACACAAGTCTGAATGGTCTTCCCGAAAAGGTTAAAGTTCAGGAACTCAGAAGGTGAGACATGCGCGGCTTTTTGGTTGAGGCTACCCATGTTTTGGCTTTAAAAGGACGACCCGCTACCCCCCTCACGAAAATTGGGTGTCTTGTGGCTTCCCCTGAAAGTGACCTTTAAAATTTGAGAGGTTTCCACCAATTAGCCTGGGTACGCCTAAGGATGCTGAAAGTGGGAAAAAAACATGTAGGAGCAAAAGGGTGCACATGATGGACATCATCGCCGTCGCCTTGTATAATTCCAATACCAAAAGCAGCAATAAGAACTGAGCAATCGTACAGCGGCGACCATATTAGACAGGACTCCGGCAATAGTTCCGGCAGCTGTACATATGGCTGTGGCTCAAAAAACCGGAATCCCAAAATGGCTTGCCCTGGTAAGTGGAAACATGGACCAAAACCTGCGGTTTGCCCCTCCTGTTGAAAATTGTGAGCCACACCCAACGGATGCAACGCGAATAACGCATGAACATTTGCCGTCACGCCACGCCACTCGGGCCTTGCTGGTGCCGTAGAAGTCTCCGAGGCCTCGGATCGGAACAAAACGACCGAGTCCGGCTGTGGCCCTTCGCTTCCGGAAAGGGTAGCTTGGGTCTGGAGGAAACGACACTCTGAAAACTTGGCTGGAAAAATCGAGTTCTTTTTTGCCTGGTTAGTGGAAAACAAAGGAAACCCCAAAAAAGCAAAAGGGGGAGCTAATTCTGGTGAAGAAGACTCTTTATCACAAGTGTCCACCCTCTCTCTCTGAAGTTTAAGGGAAGGTGTTCACCCTCTCTCTCTCTGAAACTAGGACACTCTTTATCGGTTGGTTTTTCTGGAAAAGACTCTATTGCTTGGTTTCCACCCTCTCTCTCTGCCTTGTTTTCCCTGTCGGCGTTTCTTTATTGTTTGAGGTTCGGAGCATCAAACCAAGGCGGTGCTTTACAGTCGCCTGGGTCTAGCGGCAGTGCGTGGCCCTTGCCGGCTCCTTCCGGTTGCTCCTTCCGCCCTCGGGCCCTCTTTGGCTTGCGGAAAGGCTATAAGTTCTGCAGAAGGTCTGAAAGTACTTTTCTTCAAGGCAGGCAAGCGTTCCAAAGCCACATCCACCTCCCTCTCCCAGCGCTTCAAGGCTTTAAGTTCTCAGTTGCCCTTTGGGCCCAGCAAAAAAAAGGTTAACCTGCCATGACTACAAATGGACTAAAATTGGCAAACCAAAAGGTCAAAAGCCTGAGTTTCCATTGACCGGAGGTTCTTACCTGAAGGTCCAGAGTTAATCGGTCGCACTGACAAACCATTTGCTAGGCTGACACGAGAATCCTCCATGACTGGATCCGCCAGTCATCAATAATCATCCATCTGCTTCTGGCTTCCCCTGTAGCCCCAGGAACAAAGGGCACCTTTCGCTGTTGCTTGGCTTTAAAGGCGACCCCCCCAACAAAAGAACAACAACGTTTATCCTTTTGGTGTTCCGTTAACACCACAAACAATAAGGAACCACACCTTAACCTCACTAGTCTCTTGCTTGAAAGTGCTTGGAGTCGGGTTTTTGCCTTTTCTACTGAAATGAGCAGCCTCCCTTGACAAGGGTTTTTACACTACCAGGGGGGCTGCCCATTTTTATCCCACAGTGGAAAAACCCAAACGCAGTGGTTGGAGTCGGACGCCTTCCTTCTCGCAGCTCGCCAAAAACAGCCCAGCGGCGCACCAGTCCACTGCCGTCCTTGTCTTCGATGGACACCAGCTTGTTCTTCATCACCTCACGCGCCCGTCTTCAAAAGGTTCATTAGGTGTAGAGGTTTTAAAGGACAACAATGGGGAACATCACGAGTTTTGAGGCTGCCTACAGAAAGACACACCCCATATCTCAGCTGCAAACAACCTGGAAGCTACCCTTGGCGGCCATCGAACAAGTGGTTACGGAGAATATTCGGCCACTGGAAATACAAAGTCAACCCCTTGGAACCCTGACTACAAATGGACCAAGCGGGGAAAAACCGAAAAGGTCGGTTTCGGACAAGTGAGTCTTTTGTCTGTACCACGCCGTTTTCCAGGGATCCTTCCAGGGATTTGGTGACCTTCCAGCACTTCAAAAGCCTCTGTGAAAGTTGGAAGCGGGTGGGAGCTTGGGACTGCTTGAAACCTCTTATTTGTCCCGTGCTGGAACGGGGGGTTGACCTTCGGGGAGTGCTGAAGCCGGGCGATCCAGGTCAGGACGTTGACACACCGCTGACCATGTCAAGCGTAAGGAGTGGAGCTTCCAGAATGAGAGGCTTGCATTCGATCTAACCGTTGCCGTTGACCCCTCTGCAAAACGTGTTTCCCTTTTTGTGGATCCAACGGGAAACCCTCCCTCGAATAGATGGCACCCAGGTGTGAAAATGATGGCACTCCGAGTGCGGCATCTTGGAGACCATTGGTTCTATTGCTTACCTCATGATGTTTGTTGCTTTATGGAACTTTATGGCTATTTTGTTAGATCTTTGGACCTTCACTTTTCGGGAAGCAGGCGGGGTACTACATGGCAAAAAACCCACTGGGTTTGGGTTTTTGGTGCCAGTCCCTGTAATCTGTCCAATGACCAAAGAACCAATTATTTCTTGCAACCCGCGCAAGATGAACAGAACCAAATACCACACAATCAAAACAGAACAAACACCCAAACAAGCTAATGCCAAGAGCAGTGAAGGGCCCTTTCTCAAACCTGGAGCAGATGAGCCAAAACAAGTTCAAACTGTCTGGCTGCCTCACTAAAGTGGTCCAAACCCAACTGGGATCCTTACATTATACACCTGAACATTGCCTTGTAAATGGTGGTTTCCCTGTATTTTGGTGGAAAAAGCCATGTTTCAAATGGGCAACATGTATCTTTTAAGAAGCCCTGTTTTAGCAGGGGGGGGTTCCTCCCCCAAAAAAAGTTGGTGAGAAAGGGCACCTAGCCGGGGGGCCTAGTCAAGTGGCAGGGCCACTGGGAAATCACCAAACTGTCCATTCGGGGGAAATCCAGGGACCCTTTAAAAACCAACAACCACCAAAAACTTATTTAAACACCATTAAAGACTTAATCAACCTTAATATTCAATTTATTCGACAAAAAAAAACAATAACAATAAGAAATCCTCGGACGTTTCGGGGCGCTTCTCGCGCCTGGCACTCGCGATCCTCGAGTGCCCCCAGGCGCTGCCCGAACTTGTCCAGGATCCTCCGCAGCAGCTTGAAGTCCTCGGCCCGAAACGAAAACGGACAAACCGCCGCCTTACGCGGCCAAGAAAGGGCGAAGGGGTGGGTGGCCTTCGGTCCTGGTAGAGGACGAGAAGCCACCAGGTGAGCAAAGGGGAAAAAAAGAAATCCCCACCAGGTTGACAAGGGGAAAAACCCGGCTACGTTTCTACCTAAAAAAAAGAAGGATGGCCTTCTATAAATGGAAGAAATTAAACCTAGCAGTGGAGCCCATCCAGTTCTCACCAAATGACCCTTAACAGGACACTTATGGTCGCAATGCGAAAGCGACGCAAGCGACGGCGCGGGAATTTGGGTCGTCCGACGGCGCGAAGTTGGGTCCGCGCCCAACATGGATTCGGTGCTCAACTTTTCGAACCACAAAAAAGGTCAGGGTTCAAAACCATAGAGGCACATGGCACACCCAAGTTGGGTCTGCGCTTTCTTCAGGCCCGGTACCTGTTTTTGTTGGGTTGGCTGGGGGGGAACCCAAAAGGAAAACGGCCAGTTTGGGGCACCCCATCTTGACGCGTACTGATTTTAGTGAGACGTCCAAATTACCTGAGCCACAAAGGGTGGTTTGAAGGGAACAACCAAACTCCTCTGAATTACCCGCGCCAAACTGCCAATGAAATTAAATTGTGGCTCAACTGTGATTGAAAGAGGTTTCTCGCGACCCAAAAGTAGTTTTAGAGGCGCCGCAGGAGACGAATGGATCTGACTCCTTTTGAGGCGGGAATAAGAGTTGTGGGAATTGTCCGCCGAGAATGGGTTAGACCCCCATACAAAATGACATGTGCTTGAGGTTCCTTGAGGTTGCCTTCACACCATCTAAAGACCCCTATTTCGAGAAAACACACCGACTCTGTGTTTAGATCGTCAGAGCTTCCGAGCCATTTCCCTTTTCGGGACCTCAAGTGGCAGGGTCACTGGGAATCACAAAACTGTTCATTCGGGGAAATCCTGGGACCCAATCAAGTAGCGGTTTCAGCCTGTTCAAGGGCTTGGCTGGAACAGCCGGAGGGATCATTTCCCAGAAACGTTGGAGGAGCCACGGGAAGGAACCCTGCAACAGTTGATCAGGAGGCCGAAGAGCTTCTGGATTTTGTGTGAATGGCTGCACCCCTCTCTTCCAAGCATCGTATTCATTGGTAAGTCCAGCCACCTCGGACGCAGTGGCAAGCAAACAGCCGTGCCAGGGTTGCTGGGGGGAGAAGGTTGGGGGTGGCGATTTCACAGAGTCGACATCAGCTTTGTGTTGCTCAGAGTATTTTCTGTGTGAATTATAATATTTCACCAACCTGAAACTTGCGGTGGTTGGGGGCTATTCCCCACATAAACCACCATTTGGGGTGATTTCGGTCGTGTGAGGTCGCTCTAATTCACCCAGGTCTTTTGCCAAACTCTGCGCGACAGAATCGACAGAATTTTCTCAGAGGCTCTGTCCAAGACCCTTCACCTAGCCTTCATCAGAAGCTTGACCGAAGGGGGGGGTGAATGATACAGCATTGGAAGGCTAAGAATGAAAACTGCATGCGCTTTCCTCACCACCTGGCACTCAACCCTGCTCAATTCAGAGTGCGTTCAAGAGGCTCAGCTAAACCTCCATTCATGCGACAAAAAACAGCCCTGTGGATGGACGGAATCCGTTCGCACCACCTAAGAAACCATGTGAAACCCTTGCTTGTTGGCATTTGCAAGGGGAATCGAATCATTCCATTGGGTTTCTGGAACGCATTTCCAGCCAGTCCTCACTTCGGGCCTTTTCACTGGCCCATTTTTCAATCAGCCGGTCAGCTTCCCTGCGGGTTCTGCAAATCAACAGCCAAAAACGAGTGCCTTGTGTTTTTTTCTTTTTCCCCAAGGCTTAGGGGGGGGGCAATACAAACGCCTCTGGCACCTACCAACGCCACTGACTGCTGACTTTGGATCGCGCCTCCTCAGTGATGTAGATGAGCAGCGCTTTGGTCTCCGCATGACGGGGGAACCTCATGCATGTTAAGCCAACCCCGAGGAGCACTGATGGAATACAGTGCATTTTCTCACTTGCTGAGGGCATGGGTCAAAAAAAGTCCAAACTTTTTATTTACCACCACAATGGTCTACCAAAGAAGTTTAAAGTCCAGGAACTCGGGAAGTGCATTTTCGGGCATCTGTTCAGCACCGCTGCCTTGCCAAGAGTGCAATCGTTCAACGAGTACCCGTTTCAAGCCTTCCACATAACTCATGACACCATGTGGCGAGGCTGGCCCAGCCATATTTCGCTCGAGCTCAACATATCAAAAGCTCAATCGGTAACAAGAAACAAGGCAAATCACACAGCAAAATAACAACACTTGCTTCCCTCCCTCCCCCCAAAAAAACACACTCACAAAAAAAACCCGGTCACATCCCCTTCCCTCCCTCTGCCCCCCCCAACAAAAACACACACACACACACACACACTCACAAAAAAAAAAGGAGGCCAGGTCACATCCCCAACCGCCAGAAGCCCGACCCGGAACAGCCCGAACCCCCTGGAACCGCAGGATCCAAAGCCCAAAGTGGTTGGAACTGCCCATTTGAGCCACAATCAAAACCCGGTATGTTCATGGGGACCCGAAACAGGGAAACCAACAAGTTTCAAAAGGTCGATTCACATTGGGGATGGGACTCTCCCTTCCTGACCTGAGGGTCATAGTCAAAACCCGGTACAAAAATGGAAGGCACCCAGAACCATGCCTCAAGAATTAAGGCGGATATCCGCAGCTATTTTTCAGGTTGGGGTCGTCCCTAACCTTCATCTACCCGGGTTTTGAGCAAGTGGCCCATTTGCCAGGCAGATCAACCAAGCCGAATGTAACGAACGCACCTGCCCTGCGAGCCTGGTGGTGATGTGCTGCAGAGCCCTTCGGACTTCTCCTTGCCAACGAGAAAACTGCTCGGAACGAACGCCTGGTAGCACGGGTTCTTTGGGTTTCCTTGGGTTCTTTGGGTTTCCTTTGGGTGCTTTGGGTTTCCTTTGGGTTCTTTGGGTTTCCGTTGGGTTCTTTGGGTTTCCGTTGGGTTCTTTGGGTTCTTCGGGAAATCGGACAAATGTAGCAGGGCCGTTCTGCAGGCACCACATGCAGTGCCGGGGAAAAAAAGGGGGGAGGGAATAGCAAAAACGGATCAGAAAGGTCTGAGGTTTGGCCCATCTGCATCTACGTTTTGCAGCGCATGATATGCTGAATGCCTTGACGACCTCCGAAGGCTCTGGTTACAGGAAATTTCTACAGGAACTGGCCCCTTAATAAGCTGTCTGGTAGAATTTTATGTAACCCAACCCTTTGACAAGCTCCATTTGCTTGAGCCCCCTGGGAAAAAATAAATATAATCCAGCAGTGAACTCGATCTCCTTTAAAACCAACGGGGAAAACTGGGGGAAAGATCATCTCTACTCTTGGTATGGGCTGGCAAAAAACTGACTGTTGTTTGCAGACCCCCAGTAAAAATGAACAGGAAAAACCAAAAGACATGCCAAGAACAGCGAAGATATGTCATTTTTACAAAACAAAATGGAAGATAAAGGGCAAGGTGATCGGGCGAGGCTCAACCTGGGAGCCTGTTGCACAGCTCCCGGTCTCTGCATTTGGGCACCTCGACTTTTAAGAAGAATCGGACCCCCCCCACCCCCCCAAAAAAAAGAGAGGCTCCTTAGGGTTTTCCCTGTGGCTCCATGAATTATTTGTCTAAGATTAAACAAATATGTTTGATTCCCTTTAGAACCACCAAAAAAGGGTGGATATCCCCAAAAAACAACAGACCCATGTCTGTGGTTCGTGGGAGGTTTTCCCGGAGTACCCAGTAGAAAAATCAGCGTTGACAGTCGGCCACGAATGGCGGAGTTGCCACGAATGGCGGAGGTTTGTACATATGAAATAAAACAGACAGACAGACAGACAGACAGACAGACAGACAGACAGACAGACAGACAGACAGACAGACAGACAGACAAACAAACAAACAACAAGCTTGGCTTAGTCTCACACTGAAACATCTTACTGGCAAGTGGTTGTCAAGTTGAGAGTGAGGGGCCCTTAAGGCGCGTCAGCCAGTGACCCCGTCAGAAAGAAACCAAAACCTGTGCTGGACCATTGATCTTGCAGTGCCCGACTTGCAAAAACAGGAATTGAAGCATACGACCCCCATATGTTTTGTGCAATTCTGCAACCACTTACCCTCTGCGCTGATCTCTTCGAAAGCAGGTCATGCCGTGCCTCGATTGAAGGGTTGCCTGAAGGGTTGCCTGGGGTCTTTGCTTCTTGACCACTACAAGTTCTACCAAACCTGCTATGTGGCTGAGGGGCAGAACTTGGTACCCAACATGGAACCCTGGTAGATGGAAATATGGACTGAGACCTGCGGTCCCTGGTGGTTTAACTTTGGCTCGTACCCATGTAAGCCTTATCGCCACCCGGAAACCGGAGGGGGTGGGGGGCTGCTCACATGCAAACGCGATCTCCTTCAGTAAGTAGCTCCACCGGGGATCCAGTGATGAAGACTGCCACCTCAAGTCTGAAGGACGTTCGTTTTTTCGCTTTGTGGCATTCCTGACAAACACAGCGCCAACAAACCAGCACTCCTGAGGGGAAAAGGGCAGCGGGCAGAGGAGGGAATTCCGTGTTCAAGACTTGCCTAGGGTCCACTGAAAGTTCCTTGAGCGTCCTCATACACCTTACGAGCCAAAAGTTCACATCCGAAGAACACCGAGCGTAATTTGTTGGATCTGTTGTTCAAGACATGTGGGTGTCATGTGTGCATGTGAGTGTGGGTGCGCGTTTGTGGGGGCTTCCTCGATTTGGCACATACCCACGTGCTCAGGCTGTCCAGTTCAAAGGGATCCGGAGCTTAAAACGACACAAAAAGAAACTTGGCCGCATATTCCCACAAAGGCGGAAAAAAAGAAGAAGCACAAAACACTATACTAAAAAAAAACACTTTGGCCCCTCGCAGGACGATGGCAACCCGCAGACCCAACCAACGGCGGTGCCACCGACTTGCCAAGAAACGTATGTCCAGAGCAGGCTGTCGGCCTGGCACCGCGATCCAACATCTTGATCGCAGCGGTTGATCTTTGCGTCAAAACGAACAGGAGAGGCACTATCTCTATATGTAATATCCAATTTATGCAAGAGTGTAATATATATATATATACATGTTGTATGTATGTATGTATGTATGTATGTATGTATGTATGTATGTATGTATGTATGTATGTATGTATGTATGTGGTCACACACACACACATACCCCCATATTCCAAGTCTAGAGGTTGGCATGGACGAAAGCACTGCACAATACAGTGTATATGCAGGTGTTCATTCTGACGGGCCTGATGTTTCTCTATCCATAGGGTCACGAAGTTGCCAGCCGTCCCACAAAACACACATTGAAACGGGGGGCTTGAGACCCGAAACAAAGAATCAACAAACATATGGGTCCATGTTTTGATGATTGGCTCAAATTAAAGATAGGCACAAAGGAACCCGCTGCGCCATTTTGGGGGACCCTTTGACGAGGCAAAGCGCATACAAGTGTTGCACACAGAGCGGCTGTAAACTTTTCGTGGGAGGCTTCCAGGACAAAACTGGATGTTTCGGGGGGTTCAGCTCCAACCATATGGGTGGCTCAAAATTAAACAGGAGGGGTTACGCAGGTTTTGGTCCATGGTTCCACTTGCCAGGGTGGCACCGGTTTTTTGAGCCACAGCCATATCTCACTGCTGAAAAACAAAAATCTCCGAGGGCCAACTTTTTTTGGGGAATTGGGAGAGGCACATCCTGTGTTGCTTGAGGGACCGCATCGCAGGGGTTCAGGGGCTCAGGGGTCACTCGGACGGGAAAACTCGGGCTGCAATCCTGGCCGACATTGGCATGGTAGCAACAAAATCTTGCTTTAGCTGCTCCCTGCTAAAAAATAAACAGAACCAAAACCAAGCATACAACTTGAGGAGCGGGTGAACGAAAGCTAGCAGTTGTTGCATGAGATGGGTCGGTGACAGAGTGGATTCAGAGGTAGCTTGTGTACAACGAGGGGCCCGGCAAGATTCGTAGGATGCGACACGCAAACGCACATGGTGGCCTTGAAAAATGAAAGCAACGAGAGGCGTCAGAAGCTGTCTTAAAGCACCTCTGGGTTCTGCATGCAGCGTGTGCAAAGATTCTTGCGAGGTGGTTTACTGAGAAGACTGAGGTCTCAAATGAACAAGCTGAATCGGTGGAACATGTAAAAGTTCGTAGCACCAAGTCCAAAACGGGCAAACCGAGACTGCTGAACACTGAGCCACTGCCCGGGGGGGGGGATGGACCAGGGAGGAATCGAGCCTGAGACCCGGGGGGGGGGAGGGGGGGGGGGGGTCTAAATAATTGATGTTTTTCAATCTTTTCGGCTCAAATAATTGAAAAAATCAATCTTTCGGCATTTGAGCCCCTTACCTTGCTTACGCAAGGAGAAACTTCAGCTAGCTAAAGCTAGCTTTCGTGAAAAGACTACAAACTGGCCAAGGACAATGGCTTTAACACCCTCTAAAATAAGACCTGCCCCGTATCATTTACAGGGGAGCTTTGGGATGCTCAGCACACTTACAATAAGTGAAAGTTGGAATGGCCAGATCGAACACACTTTGCCCCAAATGCCAAAAACACAAACCCAAGTCAGTCGTCCTTTTGCTCGGTAGCAAAATAAAAATATTAAAAACTGTGGAAGAATGGAAAACGCTGTCAAAGAAAGGGGGAACAAAAAGGATTGATGCTCCTAAACTTGGTTGCTGTTGACCCTTCTGCAGAAAATTTGCAACTTGCGGGTCCAATTCGGAACATCCGACCTGTTTCAACCAAACTGTGAAAGTCCAAAGATTCAACCCAATGGCCAGAAAATGGGAAGAACGGCCACTACAAAAAACACATCATGCGCCAGTGTTGCACGCAAGGTCGTACATCAAGTGCTCATTCCTTGCCAAAAAAGTTTTAGGGGCGCAGGGCCCATTCAAAACATCTCTCCACTCAAGCAGGTCCGAGTGTTCATCCGAGTTTTTTGAAGGATGAAAACACAAAGACCAGCTGCTTCACAAGGATGCACCTTCCAACGCCTCTTGCATTAAAAACACACACACACACACACTGCAGAAGGGGTGGCGTGAGAAGAGGACGTCAAGGAAGTGGTAGAAAGGAAGTAGTGCCTAAGTGGTCGTAATCGCGCCTAAGTGGTCGTGGTCGTGGTCGCCCCTAAGTGGTCGTGGTCACACCTAAGGGGTCGTAGTCGCGCCTAGAAGGTCGTGATCGCGCCTAGAAGGCCGTGATCGGGTGAGCTAGTGGTTAAATTGATTGAAATCAAACGGCGGTAGATAAACACAACCAGACGGCGACTTTTTGGGGCCCAGCAACAGAAAACAAACAAAGGGTCCACGAGCAGGTACGTTTTCACGGGACCGGGAGGGGGTCTTCGTTGGCCACCGCCCCTCCCGGTCCCCGGTGGCCCCCTGCTGCAATAGTGCATGAATTCAGTCACATGCGTGTTACAGCATGTTACACACACACAAGGGCCCCGCAGGGCGGTTGGTGTGTCTCGCAAGGTCGCTAACAGCGACGAAATCGGACCCTGCGGAGGTACATCTTTAGCTGGCGTTTGTTCGGATTCTGCAAGAGGTCTTGTATGTCAAAAAGAAAAGAAAAAAAGGGGAAAAAAAAAGGAAGCGAAAGAAGGCTCAATCTACCGACCTTTGCTCCGGAATGTGCCCAAATACAGTCATCAGATCAACAGCCATGTTGCTTCCTTCTTCACGCCACGGTTGCAACTAATTCATGGTTGAAAAGCACCCAATCCCTTGCGAACAGAGTTAGAACCAGAAGGGAGGGGCCCGGGGGAAAAGAACCGCCAAAAAAAAAAAAAAACAACAACAACAATCGGTGCGTGGCACGCCTGCGCACGCACTCCGGCGATGGGACACCACCCCATACCGGGACGTGGCCGGCGGCGCACGCGGCCCGAAACAAACGAACAAACAGTACGAGCCAGTAAACGGTGCGTGGCACGCCTGCGCACGCACTCCGGCGATGGGACACCACCCCATACCGGGACGTGGCCGACGGCGCACGCGGCCCGAAACAAACGAACAAACAGTACGAGCCAGTAATCACCCCGTCCGCATCGAAGACCCGCGACACACGGAAAACCCTGAACCAAATCCCAAAGTGGAAAGTCGAAACCTTGTCCGCGACAATTGGCCGTTTCAAGGGAAGGAAGAAGAACAAAACGAAAACAAAAGAGGGGCCCTCAAGCTCAGGGAAGCTCAAACTGGCGGCCTTGATAGGGGGGGAAGTTCAGGAGGGCTGCAGGCTGTCCTTGATATGAAACGGACAAGAGGCTTCATGAACCATCCGGCAAATGTGGCGATGCGACATCCGACCTGGTATCTAAGACTGAGCTAAGGCCATGACGTTCGGTTAGAAATTGCTAAGGCCGTGACAATTGGATGTGCCGACTCACAAGGCAACAATGGTATTTCTGAGCTCTGCTATGGTCGATGCTCATCACTCGTGTTTTAGCTATGGTATGTGGTCTCGTCACAGCACTTCGCCCCTACCACAAGGCTCATGGTAGAGATGGGAAAAGATTGGAAGAAGGGAGGCCGGGGAAGCGAAGCTTCTGAGATAAACTATTTGCTGTGCACCTGCAAGCTCGGTCAATCAGCATGTGTGTTAATGGTCAATTGGCAAAAGGCAAAAGCTATCCCTTTTTGGACTCGTACGGTCCAGTCCGTCTATAGGCTGCAAACTGTTGGCGGCCGTGGGTTTCTGACGTACTTGCGGAGGGCTGCCTCTAAATTATTTGGCGCCTCGTCTGGTGTAGAGGCTGCCTCTAAAACTGGCGCCAATACGTTGAAACTTGGAAATTCGCACTTGTCTTCCAGACTGTTCAAACAAGGAGAGACCATGTCTGAGTTGCAAAATCTTGCCACCGGTGCCTGAGATTTGACACCCGGTTGTCGCTGTCAACTAACATCCGAAGTTCCTGAAGAAGCAACTGAAGCGGGAAACCCATGCGGAGGTGTACAGAAATCAAGTCTTGAAATTGTGGACAGATCAAGCTCCGGGGCCAAGTGGATCTTAAAATGATTCGGGCCCTCGCTGTGAACCCTGTCAGAACATGTTGAGACGGGCCAGAAGAAGCTGGCGACCGCAATGCTCGCGCGACGGGTTGAATGTATGTAATGGCACGTTGCTGGCAACACATTCGGAAACCCAGCGCCTCGTCTGTTTGGACTCGTTCCAGCTCAATTGGTGCCGAATAAAAACTTGGCCATGTACGGAGGAGGGACCATGAATGTGTAAACTGTGATTCGGCGCCTATGAAAATACAGTTGTCAACGTAGCGGTAAATAACAAAAGGCAACGAAACGTTCCTTGGGAGGGACTGGTGAAAAGCCCATTCCCGAACCAACGCAACCGCTGCGCACATGACCGGCGCCCACTGAGAGCCCATCGAGGCTCCTTGAATTTGACGGTACGCTTGGTACCCCACAGTCAGAAAAGAATGTGTCAGCAAAAACTTGCATAATGGGACTACGTCTTCAATGCGGACTGATTTATAGTTTGTGCCTGCTGCTCGGTATCGTCCGCGAAAGGTGCGCTGTATTCGCTCATGTTGCCGCATGCTTGCTTGAATTTCTGAATCTGGGGAAACCTGCTGGAGGAAACAATATCGATGAACGATAAACTCCAAAGCTTGGATAATTCTTCCATGCTCCACCTGGTTGTAGAAGCCTGCAATGTCGAGTTGTTGCAAAGTTAGAGGCTCATCCTGGTAGGATGCAAAAATTCGCCGCACATCATGTAATACGTCGCGAATATTCAAGTCGGGGGCCAAAGTCGGGAAGACCGTGGTGCACATCATTTTCAATACAATGCTGAGCGCTTGTCCTATGCGAGATGGCCATGCTTTGGAGAAATTGACGATAGGCCTTGCCTTTTGAAAATGGCGTGACGGCTTGGCTAGCACATACGCAGCTGGTAACTGGGCCTGCCAATTGAATCCC